CATGTGAGTAGAAACACAAGTAGAGATTGAAAGCCAAAGTTGATGACTAATTTCGTGTCTATGAACACGAAATAACCATTGAAGTATGCATCTCTTAGAGTGCAGATGCACTTTAGTTGAAGGTAAATAAATGGATAGACATTGCTTTTTATACTCTATTTATATATACTTTGCTTGATGCTAGGGAGCTGGATAGGACATGGCGCATTTTGTCATATATTATTGTAGGGGAGGGTTGATTTTGTTTTTAATGGCATATAAACCAAGATAGGGTGGGGTAGGTTGGGTAGGATGCAGTAGCTACAAATTACATTTTAATTGTCATATGTTAACTATAATATCCCAATCATCTCATCTTTGGCGATTACAAGACTTATAAGGTCAGATCTTCTCTCTCTTTCTCTGCTACTCTCTCGCTTCTCCCTTGTCTCACCGTTTTTGGGTATAGCGCGATTTAGCCGCGGATCCAGGACGTGTGTACAATCGACTATTCAAATAAAGCGCTCATTCTTCTGATCAAAAAGCATAACACAAAAGCGAGAGAGCACAGAGAAACCAGAGAGCAGAACGATCCGAGAGGGCGCGCGACAGTCAGACCAAATTTATGTGGGTTTAACACTCGCTTATAACGGAATTAATTGCGATGAGCGTCAGTGTGTTGTGTCTTCCCATTACAACCCCCCCATCCTATTCTCGACTAATTATTCGGCGATTTTATGGACTTGGGTAATATCTAGGATAATATTGCACTCTTCAGTTGCCAATGCAAATATAGGTCAAGTAGTTGGTATTTTTGGGAGGATAGTTGGTATTTTGAGTGAATAGTCGAATTATATGCTAGTTTGTTTTTTGCGGCGACGAAATGCACTTTAAACTCTCGATTTCGAAAATTAAGGTTTTGGCGGGAAAACGCAAATTTGAATTTTCTTGATCGGTTAACCGACGGAAATGGGCTAAAAATGAAAAATACTGATTTATTTTATGAAAGTATGTACATTTTTATCATTTTAAAAATTTTTTGTTATAAAATTTCAAATTTTAGTTTTGGCGGGAAATTTAAAGTTTGAATTTTGTTCATTTTTAATTGTGGAAATCGTAAAAATGGGCTTACATTAAAGGTATTAGTCTGTTTTTTGCATTTTTTAATTTTTATGCCTACATTTTTAATTTTCACTTTTGGCGGGAAATCAAAAATTCAAATTTTTTAATAATTTTTTGCCTTTTTATACCTTATAATAGTGAAAAATAATGTTAGGTAGCAATTAATGTTTAAATCATGTTTAGTTTAACATATATTTTCATTATTTTATCACTTTCCACTTTTTCGTTTACCATCTCTTGCAAATCAATAAAATAATGTTTGCGAAGAGTTGAGAGACCCGCAAATTGTTACTATATAACAAATACGATGAGATGAAGAAATTTCTGCGCCAAAAAGTCTTGTCGGTTAGTAGTAATACAACCCTCTAAACTGCTTTACATGGGCAATATGGCGCGAGAGAGCCCTAAAATCCATGAAAATTGGCGGAGACGGCAGCGAGATAGCGCAAAGTTGCGTGCGATTTGAAGAGAGCGGGCATTTCTCTCCGAGACGGAAAAGGGAAAACGAGAGAGTATTAATTTTTGTGGGAGAAGGAGAGAGCGCGGTTTTCTTTCGCAGAGAAAACAAAAAGGCGAGAGGAAACGGACGAGAGAGAATTATGTTCCGCACGAAAATAAGAGAGCGCGTTCTCTCTTCTAGAGAAAATAATGCGGCGAGTGGAATCGGGTGCACGAGAGAACATAATTTCCGCCGTGAAATCCAGAGAGCGCGTTTTCTCTTCAAGACGAAAAAGCATCAGCGAGAGAGCACGCTTCTCCGCCATAATTCAAAGAGACCGTGCGAAATAGTGGCCATTTGCACGCGAATAACGAGAGAGCGGCTAGTCGCGTGTTCGCATGTCAAACGAAAATGTTGTTTCGGTTAAAGCGCGCAATTCAAAAGGGAATGGGGCGATAGTGGGGCAGGGGAAAGATGATGAAGAAGGCTAGCGAGCGGTGTGTGTGTGTCTCTGCTTTTCTTGGGCGGCGGTGGGGTCGGGGGGTTTTTGCAGCCGGGTCTCTTGTCGCCTCGACACACACCCAAAAATTTTCGCTTTTTCGATATGTTTTTAATTCGAAATGCACCATTAATTCGGGGCGCTTTTTTGTGGGTGTTATTTCTTTATATTTCGCAAGTCGTTTAAACGCCTTTCTTCATGCGCCTTCCCTTTATCATAATTGAATGGCCAAGGACGGGCGGTGCGGATGTGATATGTCATGCCCTAGACAATTGTAGTTTTTAGATGGTAGGGGGTGGGGAAGGGTCGTTTTAGGTAGTTTTTGCTATTTTATTATAAATAGAGAAAATGAAAACCTTCTTTTAACGTTGATAAGACATAAAAATCTCTGTTTTTTGGGTACTAAAGGAAGAAAACACCACATTTTTTAGGTATTAAGGGTCGTAAAATCACATTTTTTAAGCAGCAGCCGATCAAAAATTAAAATTTTTGGGCGGTATGATATTTAAAAATTAATTTTTCATCCATTTAAATTAAGAAAATGTCATTTTACGTTAAAAAATAGCTAAAAAATGAATTTTTGAGGTATCCCAAGGGTAGTATTCACCCTTTTTTAAGGTACAAAAAGATGAGAAATTGCCATTTCATCGCTTTTTTAGATAGAAAAATGATTTTTACATGATGAAAGGTTTAAAAATGACTTTTTTTACGGGTTGGAAAGTTTAAAAATGAATTTTTCATCTGTTCGAACCAAGAAAATACAATTTTTTGCTAGGTAATACCTAGAAAAATCGAAATTTACGCTAATTTAATACCTAAAATCGGCACTTTTGCTACCAAAAATAATAAAATTGGATTTTTAGCTATTACCTTCTACAATATTTTTTATTTTTTTCCATTATAAGCCATTAAAATTATCTTTTTTATTAGTTAAGCTTGAGAAAAATTCAATTTTTTGCTAGAATACGTAATAAAATTGTATTTTACTCTTATTATGCTTTAAGTTGTACTTACAATTTGTACTTGTAAATGAAGTAATTATGGTTAGAATTATGTAAATGTCACGTTTTATAAGTTTTTCAGCAGTTGAAGCTTTATTTCTATAGTGAAGTTTATATCATCTTTGACAAAAAGGGGATTTTGATGGGTTTCTTTAATTTAAATCAATTTTTAACTAATATCTAGCTGTAAAACTAGCGAAAATAAAATCCAAGGGTTTTTACTATGTTGTCATGCTTTTTTACCTTTTTTTTTGCCATATTTTACCTGTTTTGAGTCGATTTTCCTTTCTCAACCACCTTATTTTAGACCGTGAGAAGCCAAGAAACGTACTAGCTTATAATATTCCAAAATCTGTTAAAAAGGCATTTTAAAAGTGGCTAAAAGGACATATGCTACTAACTTTTTTTTAAATTGGTACTTTTGGTACAAATGGGACAGTTATATGAGACCCTGGTGTCTTTTGCACGGTGCAAGAAAGTTTGTGAAGGAAAAATCGACATTTTATTTTAGAATTGGTTTAAAATGACTTTTCGATTATTTTTGGCATATATTTCTGATGTATGATGTGATACTATGTCGAGCTTACGATGTACTATTATGTCTTAAATACGATTTGTTTTTTCTTGCACCGTGCAGTCGTTTTTTGTCATTTTCGTTATCATATTTAACGTTTTAAATATCCCTTTTACTACAAACAATACACAATGCCTTTTCGTTTACCGCGCTCAACATACGATGCCAAAAATCCGCGAAGACAGTAGCATTTAATGTTGTTTTCCAACTTGTCCCAATAAGGTGGCCATAAAAAACAAATCGATAGGCGGCCAATAAAGAGACGCACACGTCCTCGAAATGGTGTTATATATGCACCATCCTCTCCGCAAAACTTGTTCGAATTATATTTTTATTCCAGCTCTTTTTGTTTTTTCGAAATGTCATGGGAAACTTAAAGGGGGGGGTGGGGGGGAAATGGGTAAAAAGGGGAAAAGTTGGGAAGTTGGAAAGAAAGTTATTGCGATGTTTCATTTTTGGTTCGGGGCAGGGTTTTTTAGTGAATTTTTCATTTTCATATTTTTTCTGATTTTTGGAAAGAAAGTTATTGCGCTTTTTGATCTAGAAAGGAGTTTTAATAACTTTTTGATCTTGCAAAGAAAGTTTTTGCAATTTTTTGATTTTTAGGTTGGGAAGGGGATTTTTTTCTAATTTTTTTATTATTTTGACTTTTGCGACTTTGTAAACAAAGTTATTGCGGTTTTTTGCTTCGGAAAGAAAGTTCTTTCTAACTTTTGAACCTGGAAAGAAAGTTTTTGCAATTTTTTGATTTTGTGGTTGGGAAAGGTATTTTTTACTTGATTTTTAATTTTTATAAATTTTCTGATTTTGGAAAGAAAGTTATTGCAGTTTTTTTACGAAGAAAAGAAAATTCTAGCTAACTTTAAGGCTGGAAAGAAAGTTTTTGCGGTTTCATGATTTTTTAAATGGGAAAGGGATTTTTTGTTGGATTTTATATTTTTATAAATTTTCTGATTTTGGAAAGAAAGTTATTGCGGTTTTTGGTTTGGAAAGAAAGTTTCTGCTATCTTTTGCTTTTGTAAATACATTTGTTTTTTGGCTTTTATCTTTTTTTAAGATTGTAAACAAAGTTTTTGTCGTTTTTTGATATGTAAACAAAGTTATTGCCATTTTATGTTTTGTAAAGAAAGTTCTTGCTTATTTTCCGCGTTATTTTTTCTTTTTTGCGTGATTTTTCATTTTTTAAAATAAAAAATTTTAATTTTCTGAAATTTCAGCTTACGGTACACAAAATTTTCAACGTTTGCCAACCAGCACCATTCGCACCTGAACTCAACTGATCGAACTTTTCGATTCCCACTTTTTTTTAAAATTTCAAAAATTTTTCTCAAATGCACCACAATTCAAACTTCGAAAAACTGAAGCCGAGTGCCACCATCTTGTAGAATGAGCTTTGAAGCGGTGCCGTGTATGTTCAAGAGTCGGGATGAGCAGGATCGGGAAACGCCGCGCTATGGCTTTCTCATACGACCAGCCGGCTCTACTAGTACCGCGACCAGTACGACGAGTACTACTAAAGTATTACCTAAAAAGGTTGGTTTTTGGATTTTTTTTGATTTTTGTTAAGTTTAGGGTTAATTTTTCATTTTTGAAGCATAAGTGGGCTTAAAATTGAAAAGTGGGGACATGTTATACGATGAAACATGCTCAAGATTAAAACATCTTTGATCGTATAACTTGGCTCTTTTTTAAAAAATGTTTTAAAAACTAATGTTCTTTACATAATAAATGTCATAGTATGTTTAAAAATGACATTTTTTTTAAATTTTTAATTGAAAAACTTTAAAATTTAAATTTTCCCAATTCCAGCCTCTGGTCCAACCTCAAATTGTACCAGTCCCATTGCCAGCCACTGCCATTCCATCCACGATGAAGTTGACTTCAGTCGGGCCGGTGCCAGCATCCGCCGTTCAGCCGATGCCAATTCTCAACTCACCTCCGAAGACGTTGCAACTGAAGCCGGCTTTCAAAGCACTGGTACCGTCTGGTGCCAATAAGCAGCTTTTGGCTGTGAGTGGGTCAATACCCTTGGGTTCGGCGATTCAAATGACTTCGAAAAGTGTTGTCATGAGCAGTAGTGTTGCAATGCCTAAGGGGAAGAAGGCTGCGAAGAGTGGGACACAGGTTGGTTATTTTTTCGAAATTTTGTTGAAATTTTTGCGTTCGAAAAATTTTAAATTTGGTTTTTACGGGTTTTTTGGCATTTTTGAGCTTATGTTTATGTCAAAAAGAGATTTTCAAGTTTTCTAAAATTTTTGAAAATTTTGATTTTGTCATTTTTTAAAGGGGGGGGGGAGCTTTGTATCTTAGTGTCATAAGATTAGTAACTATATCTAATAGTAATTATATTTTGGTCAAAAACAAACGTTTGAATTACGTATAATACTATTAAAATATTCTTTCATATTATTTGACTGTACGGTGCAAGGTCAAAAGTTGTTTTCAAATTTTCATTGAAAAAACAAATTGAAATTTTAACTTTTTTAAGTGTAACTAGAATATAGAGACTTGATTTTAATATTAAATGTTGTTTGGAATCTTAAAAATCAGGTTAAAGAATGGCACGGGGAAGGTTAATTTTTTGGATTGCACGGTGCAAGACTAAAATAAAAAAAAAATTTTAAGAAAAATGAGGGGAAAATGGGGAATTTTATAAGGTTTCGGGATTTAAAGGGTCATTTTTGTGATATAAAATGGTATTTCTAAATTTAAAAAATTTATTAACTGCACGGTGCAAGCGAAAAAGTTAGGCTGCACGGTGCAAAAAAAATTTATTTTATTGCACTGTGCAAAAAATAATGTTTAATTTCTGTATGTAAAATACAATAAAATATTTTAGAATTAAAATTTAGACATTTTTTTCAAAATCTCGTTTTTAGGCTATTTTTTCTATATTTTAGGCTTATTTATTTACCTTTATTAGGCTATTTTTGATTAACGTCAAAGCAAAGATAACAAGGAAATGAAAAAGTTGCTTTTGTTTCACTTCAAAGTACTCTTTTATCACTTTTTCTTTACTTTCCGAGCCACTTTTCTTTAAAACATTTTTTTATAAACAAGTATTGATAAGGCTACGTCAATATTCTCTTACCTAATTGCATTATAATTGAAATGAAAGTGTAAAAAACAGAGTTGTAATTAATTTTCTTGCTAAAACTAATAATTTTCATGTACTTTTAAGTTTAGAAATAAGGTTTGAAGGGGTAAAATGTTTAATTTTAGAGGTTTTTAGGCATGAATTTCTTATTTTTTGGCGATTTTTAGAAGTTTTAAGGTTATTTTTTGGTTTAAAACAGTGTTTTTTAATGTAATGTTATCATCAAAGTATTATATATTATATACGTGATAGTATAGGTATATCTTGTAGTTTTTAAGGTTTATAATTATATTATAGTAGGTAAAAGTATAAGAATACCGTTGTTTTATGTCAAACATGGTTAAGATATGTAATGTTTTTAAAAATGTGTACTTTGTGTAACTTCCCTTGGCCATGAGGAAGTTGTTTTTTATGTCTTGGTGACGTATCTTCATGCCACTTTAGCTAAAACAACTTGTTTTTGCTTTTGTTTTTTTTGAAAAAAAAATTAAAATTTTGAATGTTTTGGTCAAAAAATATATGGAAAAATAAAAGGTTATGTTAAATGTAAGATTAAAATTCTTTTCTGTATACTTTTGGACCTTAGTTTTGGTTTTTAGTATTATTTTTTACGGTTTAAATTTTTTTGCACTGTGCAGTCTGTTGTTTCGACTGCACTGTGCAGTCACTTTTATTTATTTTGCACTTTGCGGTCTTTTTGTTTGTTTGCACTGTGCAGTCGCTTTTTGAATGCACCATGCAGTCTCTTTTTTTGCTGCACTATGCAGTGTTTTCTTTTGATTGCACTGTGCACTCTTTTTCTTGGCTGCACAGTGCGGTTTATTGTTGGTTGCACTGTGCAGGCTATTTTATTCGTTGCGGGCGAACTGTTTCACGAAAACAATCTGAAATTTGTTATTTTGGCGTCAAAATTAATATGAAATGAGCTTTGGAATGACTTTTTTGAAATAATTTCGTATTCCGACCTAATATGATGTCATTTGTGTTTGGCCGTGTTTTATTATTATTGGCCATGTTTAGTTCTTCAGTGAGGCGTAACGCAATTAATTGTATTTTTAGCCTATGAAAAAAAATTTGAAATCTGGAAAAAAGTTGTTGCACCGTGCAGATTTTTTATGATTGCACAGTGCAAGCGTAAAAAAGTCACAAATCTGAAAATGATTTTTTGAAAAATTTAAGCAATTTGTTGTACTTTTATCATTAAAAAATTTTTTTGATTTTACATTTTTTATGACTGCATTGTGCAAATCAAAAACCATTGCACGGTGCAAAGCAAAGTTTTAAAAACTGCCTTTTCTAACCACTTGGAAAATCCGGCTATAATAGATTAAGTAGTAGTTTAAAAGTACGTACAACAAAATAATCTTGATATTGAGAAAAACGGCACGTAATAATCCAATTTCACTTTACAACGTAATTTGTTGACAATACTTAGTTTCCAGTTATTAATTTTAGGATTAGACATTGTAAAAAGTAACATATTAACGTAGGAGCACAGAAAAGTACAGTTTTATATTCTTGTGGATTGTAACTTTAATTTTATTGCGCTGTGCAAGGCTTTTTCGACTGCACTGTGCAGTCATTTTTAAAATTTAAGTTTTCAATTTTTGTAAATTTTGGATTGGTGTAAGTCATAGTCATTAAATTTGCCACATTTTGTGAATTACTACTTTTAACTTTGGCACAGCGAAAACGCTTATTAGACTGCACTGTGCAGTCTTTGATATTTTTGCACGGTGCAATGAAACAAGGCGAAAACTGATGTTTGTTGGCTACAATTTTGAGAAATATAAATTATTCTTGAAAACCCATTGTTTATGGCACTAATTGTTATATTTCAAAAGTTGTTTTACATAAATAGCATGTTTACATTGATTCCATTAATAGAATAGTCAATTTAAACAGTAAACAGACTACATGGTAATTATACTCAATTACCGGGTAATTATGGATATTAAATTAGTGTTGAAACGGGTTCAAAAGTACTAAAGATAGTATTAGTGAGCTTGAGAAAGTATTGTTAGGGTTATTTTTGTAGGTTTTGGGGTTAGAATTAGCAAAAAATTGAAATTTTTAGTTAAAATGTGGTAGATAACGGTATTTTAGGTATAATTTTTTTTGGGAGCTTTTTTTTTACGCAAATTTTAGCAATAGAACGCAGTATGTTTCTACCAATTTGTGTGGCTTTGCTATGTTTAGTCAAAAAGTTATGGAACTTTATGCAAGATATGCTTTTCTCAAATTTTGTTGTTTTTTCTAAAATTTGTTATAAAAATATTTCGACCGGTTGATTTTAAAAAATTGTTGGCTTTATACATTTACCATTATCTATTCTCTAAATTTTTGTCAAAAACTTGTACTTTTAAACATGTAAACATTAGGAAACAAGCTCCGACTGTTGTCTAACCAAATTCGTATAGTTTTAAAGCGATTAAAGGTATTTTTAGCCGGTTTCGCGGCTATTTTTGGACCCAAGTCCGTAAAAGCATGTAAAGCCACAAGTGACAAATAGACTTTTTTCTTACTCGTTTAGTATGGGCACGTAAACATAAAAAGCTGCTATTTATGGGTATTATACTAGGATTTGGTGCTATAATTAGGTCAAATGAGAGTAATGGGGGTTGAAAGTGTGGATGGGGGTTTGGAAATGTTTATAACATGTATAAAGTGTCTATAATATGTACGAAATGGGTTTATATAGAAGTAAAAGTAGGAAATCTCGAAGGAATCGAGATCAAAAAATTAAGTTTTGAATGTCCCGCCAAATTGGCTTTGTGTTTCAAACTTATAACTTTGCCATTTTTTGACTTTTGATTATTTTTCTTTTATATACTAGTAGAAAACCTTTAAGTAAACTTATATTTTTAAATTTCTAAGCGTAGCTTGAATGGAAAGTCGAAAAAAGTGCTTGAAACACAATGCCAAATTGGCGGGAAATCAAAATAATTAAAACTTAAAATTCAAAAGCGCGAGCTAAAATTTTTTATGGGTACTATTGGTGGTACAAGGAATTCATATAAAAATTTTGAGCTGATTTTGAGTGGGGCAGGGGTACTTTTCCTCCCAGTTCGTATACAACATAGGAGACTAGAGTTTCATGGTATATAAGGATCTTTGTGTGAAACTCGAAATTTTTGTTTACTTTCAAGCCTCAGAAACGTATTTTTAGTTTCAATCGTCTTGTTTTTCCACCAAATTTCGTAAATAAACAAGCGATTTCGATACAACTCGACTTTATATTACACTAGACATGTGTTTCTCTATCTTTCATAACTGCCATTTCTTTTCTAATCCCCCCTTATTTTTGTTTGTACACCCAGTTGAAGTGTTTATTGTTTTTATTTGTTTTATTATCAGTTTGGCGGACTGATAATGCTGATTCGAGTTGTTCTATTGTTTCCCAACGGCCTGAGGCATTTAAAACGACTTTTTCGCTATTTAATTTTGGTTTTGTTACTAATTTGGAAAGAAAATTGTAGGAATTAGCGTGCAAAAGGGTTTTAACATAAAGAAATGAGTAGAGTATAGTAAATTGAATGTTGTAGTAGATGTATGGTTTATATATGTATGATATTGTAGTAGGGAATTTGATGTCAGTTGGCATGTTTTTACTCTGTAAAATACATTTTTAATGTTTTAGAATGTGTAAAATAGCATTTGTTATTGTTTTTACATTGTTTTACATCAAAAACAGCACTTGGAACAGAATGCCAAAAATGGCGGGAAAATAAAAATTTAAATTTTTTGAAGAATTTTATATATGAAATTGTAAAAAATATCTTTAATTGTTATTTTATTGTCTTTATATATGATTCTTTTATTTTTGGACCGGTTTAGGGTTTTAAAACGGAATGCCAATAAACCCGCGAAAAATTTCATTTGAATTTGTTTCTATTTTTTGCCTAAAAGTAATCCAAAATTGTAAAAGTTTTAAAAGAATTTATTTATTCAATAATAATGACATATTTTATAGAAATGCGCCATTTCTGAACCATCGACGAGTAGCGAGCAGCCTGCGCCCACAACGAGTACGTCGTGTCGAATGAGCGACCTGCAAGAAGACCTAAACTCGATCGAAATGAACCAACTCATGCCCACGAATGGCGGCATCAACACTGAAGAGTATTTGGGCGGACAAGTGCCCATCAGCCAACAACCCTACTACGGTAACGGCTACGATGGGTACTACTGTAACCAGACGGCTGGCACGTCGCAGAGTAGGTTTCTAAAATTTAAAAATGGTAGTAAAATTGAGTTTAAGTACGTTTTAAAATTGATTTTTTGCATGCTTTTTACTATTTGTAACTATCATAATGACGCATTTTTTGAAAAATATGTCACGATGACACATTTTTGGAATTTTATAAAAACTGTCAAAAATGACATTTAAAGTCATTTCACGTTGTATTTATGCCATTTTTAGTGCAACCCCACTCATCAACGTCGATGAATCCCCAACATCAAATACCGTACACTTACGAATGTAACGTCTACCCCTCCACCTCCTACCAAAACACACAATACTACAGTCAATGGCAAGGCCCGGTACATCAACCTGTTCATCAACATCAACGTGTACATCAAATTCAACAACAGGTGTCGACGTCACCGGACTCCGGGATTCAGTCCATCGACGGCTCTCCACCCGCTATGGCATTCACCCCGCCGCTGAGTTCGGACGCATTCACCGCACATGCCATGCCTTTTGACCCGGCAGAACCCACGCCAGCGTTGCAGCCTCCATCGGCTTCATCGGCGGCGTCGTTCAAGGCTTCCACCGTTCCGTGCCAAAGCGAGGAAGCCGACCTCTCGGACATGCCAACCCTGATTCGAGCTGATGTGGAGGCATCTCCAGAATCCGACGAAGGGCCGAAAGCAGGACTGTCCACTGAGTCTGATGCACCGAATTTGGATTCAAGTCCGGTTTCGAACCGCTCACGATCGGTTTCGGTCCGGCCCAGCTCCGCCATGAATGAGGACGTGTTCCAGTTCTTGGCCACAATGGGACCAAACGAGATTATCAACAAGCTGAAAGATCACTGGGATCCGGAAAAGGTCGGTTTTACTTTTATTTTTGGGTTTTGGGGGTGGATTTTATTTTGGAGGACAAGTTATACGATGAAACATGTTTCGTCGTATCATGTTTTATCGTATAATTTGTCGCTTTAGGGACATAAGGTATGAAAATGACGTTGTGGGTTTTTAGAGATAATATAATAATAGTAAAAACGTTAGATTTTGATTTTTTTTAAAAAGGAGACAATTTATACGATGAATTATGTTTGGTCGTATAACTTGTCGTATAAGAATTGAAATTGACAATTGAGCATTGAAAATTGAGATTAAGGTTGACAAAGGTATACTTCTACTAGTTATGAGTGTAAATTTTATATATTTTTTACTTTAGTGACAAGTTATACGGCGAAACATGTTACGACGAAACATGTTTCATCGTATAAATTGTCTCCTGAAAACTAAAATTGAAATTTGAGAATTGAAAATCGAAAATCGAAACTAAGGTGGTAAGACTAACACTTTTACTATTTACAAGTTTAAATTTTCAAGTTTAGTGAATTTATACGCTGAAACATGTTTCGCCGTATCATGTTTCATCGTATAACCTGTCACTAAATTATAAAATTAAAAGTTTGAACACATATATAGTACAAGGGTACCACTTACAACCTTAGTGTCAATTTTGAATGCTCAACTATTAATTATGGTCAATTAACGACATGTTATACGACCAAACATATTTTATCGTATAACTTGTCCCTTTCTGACTATAGTCTATCCACATCTCATAAAGTCATTACAAAAAGGCTGGTCAAGGTTTTTGGCTAGCAGTCGACGCGATCGCAACAACAATGTGATTCATTTATTGCCTAAAAACTGCCATTCGTCTTCACCCCTTCCTCACGTGACAGCGGAACGTTGGCTGCGTTATAAATGGAGCGTTGGCTCTCTGTTCCCTCACGTTTTTCTTGCCATATGTAATGCGTTTTTTATTGTTTGCGACACGAGAGTGTTTATACGGAAGTTTAATCACGTAGGTGGTCATGGATAACATAATATTGTTAGTTATTGTTGGTATTAGAGGAAGATTGGGAGGTAGACACAAAAGTCTTGGCGTTTTTGAACGGGAAGAACAGTGTGTATTGATGACAAAAGTTTTGGGAGTATTGGCTAGACTTAATGACATTCGGTGAAGGTCAAAAGATGCTAGAGTAATATAGGTATAAGCTATTAAAGTATTTTTTTTTAAATTTTTCGAAAATTTGGCATTTTAAAAAGTTTTTCGAACAAAATTTGCGATTTTTTAAAACTTTTTTATAAATTGTCGTATTTTACATAGAGAAAACGACCGGTAACGTTTTGTAACAGAACTTTTGGCGCACCCTGTAAACGTTTTTCCCTAAAAATGCTAATAGATCTACATGTTTACTCTACGTTTCTCTGCATGTTGACAAAGCAATGCCCATAATAGATGCGCGGTTTCGAAAGAACATCACGGCACCTCTCGTCTGATGTTATCCACCCCTTTCTCTCTGTCTTTTCGCCCCGCTCTGCCCACTATTTTGGTTTTTTTTATTCTGGGCGGTGTTCGAATGAAAGCGAGTTGCCAAATGTAATTGTACTATTATGTACGCGGTGTAAAGTTAATTACTGCGCTTTGTTTGTCAATGTCATGCGATTATAGGGGTGGGGAGGCCTATTAATAGGCTTCACCTTAAATTATAAGTCGAGGTTTTGAAAAATTATTTTGAGGTTTAAAAAATGAGGGTTATGTCGAAGAATGGCATTTTGCACAATTAAAAAAAAGTTTATTCACTTTTGACTCGGACATGTTTCATCGTATAACTTGTCACACAAGGTCAATTTTAATGTTTAAATGAGTTAAAATGTGAAAAGAAGGGTGACATTAGGTTAAAATAAGAGAAAGAATGGCAGTTTATCCAATTTTCCAAAAAAAGTTTATTTTACTTTTGACTTGGGCATGTTTCGTCGTATAACTTTTCACTCATTGACTGATTTTAATAATTTTCGTCTTATGAAAAAAAGAGACGTTTTTAACTTAAAATATTTGAATTTCGCGTATTTTACAATGGAAGTAAGAACTTTTTTTTGGTGCCAACTTATACTATGAAACATGTTTGGGTATATCATAACATAAGATGATCCTACTGGTAACACTTAGCTGTAAATACTAAAAAACACTTTAAAAATACTGAGCTATGTCATTTTACATTTAAATGTATTTAAATGTATAAAAGATTACTTATGTATCACTCCTAATAGTCACAACACATAATATACCATGGTATGTCGTTCGTATGTGCCGTGAATAATCCGAAATACCATCCTCGAACAATACCCTCAAATCCTCTTCGCCAAGTCGGCAGTCAATTACTTTAGAGGGCACAAACAGAATGTTTTCATCAGCGGATATGAGGATGTTTGCCTAATAGCCTCGAGGTTTTTCAAGATTAGCCAGGTTTTTACGTCTTATTTATATCAAAAAGTAATGTCAATAGGCTCGGAATTTAGTTTGTCATCATAAAATGCCATATTTTGTTCACAAATTGGCAAAATTTTGAAAAAAGACACATGTTACACGATGAAACATGTTTGATGAAACATGTTTTTTTTGTATAACTTGTCACTTTTTTTGAAAATTTAAGCAAGTTTTTACTATAGTATGGAAAAGTTAGAGCTGAAGTACTGTTTTTAAATTTCAAGCGGTTTTGTACTTTCGGAGACATCTTATACGCTAAAACATGTTTTGTTGTATACATGTTTAATCGTATAACATGTCGCTTTTTGAATTTTTTAGGATGTTTAATTGAGAATGGTAAAACTAGTCGTCATAAGGCATTATGTTTAAATTTACATCAATTTTATTAGCAGGAGACAAGTTATACGATGAAAGATGTGTTGTCATATACATGTTTCATCGTATAACATGTCACTTTTCAAGCTTTTATTAGTATTTCTAGTTGAGAATGGTAAAACTAGTATGATAAGGCATTATTTTTTGAATTTACATTTATTGTGTCATCAGGAGACCTGTTATGCGATGAAACATGTTTTGTTATATACATGTTTCCTCGTATAACATGTCATCTTTGCAAATTATAGCTTCTTTTTTGACGTTTCTAGGAACAGGAAAGGAATAAGATGTAGAATAACTAAGAGTATGTAATCATAACTTTTCAAACACTACAATCTGTCATCTCACACTACAATAACATACTTAATGCCTACAATTACCTCTGTGTTATATCAGTGTTATAGCCGTATGTTTGTCATTCATTGGGCCGTTAGTACGTCTACATACCGGCTTGTTTACTGTATAAAAAGCGTTCGTTTCGGCCTGTTTCTATGGAAATTCGAAACCCAATTCCCATGAATCTTCCATTGCCAGCGGGCCGAAAGGCGTGGCCACTGACTTTAATCTTGTAATTACAGTCCGACAATTGTTACAACCGACTCCGCAAAAGGTTGTTTGCACTTGACGAACAAGGGATGAGAGGGTTTGTTGTCTCGAGTTCGAGCGACGCCGGGATCAAGAGGTATTTAGGATATTACACTGGAATGATAGGAAGATTTTAATGTTTCTAATAGTGTTACTGATAGGACAGGTGTTGATGAAGCCGGAATTGGACAGGAAATGAAGCAGAAGATTCTTAAAAGTGTTTTCGATTAAGCGGTTATCCTGGAATTACACTGGGAAGAGCAGTAGAAGCTAAAAATTATATAACACTAGACCTATCTGAATCAGTGAGGGAAAGCTTGATGTAGCTGAGAGTAAAACAAGTTTAAGTATATGAATGGCATTTGGTTTGAACAAGGAGACTTTGAGGATTCTAAAAATAGATGATCTACCTGCATAGACGTATTGAGCTTAACATTAGAACGAAAAGTTATATTACACTAGACCTACTTGAAGCGGGGAAGGAAAATCTTGATGTAGCTGAGAGTAAAACTAGTTTAAATATGTGAATAGCATACCGTATGAAAAAGCAGACTCTGAGGATTGTAAAAATACATATTTGAATATAAAAAACTGGTTGGGCTTAGCATTAGGATTAAAAACTATATTGCACTAGGCCTATATCACCTGTTGGGGGAAAATTCATCATAACCTTTGAACTTGACAATATAGAACTTGCAAATCAGTGATAGATGATACAGAAAAGACAGTATATTATAAAAATAATAATTTTTGTTTAAGATTTTATGAAAATTTAAGTACTTGACCTTTTAAGCCCATCCACCTGCGCAGCAGAAAGAAAATTAATGTATTGACAAAACTAATTGACACAAAAAGTAAAAAGATGAATTTAGAAACGTTTTCAGTTTTAAAATTTTTATTTTGTTTTAAATTTCACGATTTTTCGAAAAAGAAATGGCAGAACCGTTTTTTCCGGGTTTTTCGCCAAAGGCCAAGAAATACATTTTTACTGTCCGAAAAGCCAGATTTTACCTTAAGCCTTTTAACTGTAAATTTGTAATTTAATTTTCTACAAATTTCCAAAAAAAGCAATTTAGTTAATTGCAATGCGTTTCTTCCGATCTGGCAACTTAAGCAAGGGTGCAGTTGATACGTGCGGGTTCGAATCCGGTCGGGTGCAGAGGGGGTTTTTGCCATTTTTTATGACTTTGGATTCAGAATTTTGTGGAATAATTGGATAGGATGGAAAGATATTGAGTTTCTGAAGTTATATTTTTTTAAATTTTGAGAAAGTATATGTAAAGGAAGTTTCTGCGGAGCGTTGAAGTTGAAGTCCCTTTGAAGTTCGGCGTTTTTTGGGGGAAAACGGTGATTTTTTATGAAAATGAAGATGTAAAGAAAGTTTTCGCATTCCATATCTTTGTTGATAGAAAGATATTGTCTTTTCACGTTAAATTTTTTGTAAACAAAGTTTTTGCAGCCTATTAAAAGCACTTTACAACCGTTTTTCGACCATTTTCCCATCTTTTTTGCACAAAACTTGTGACTTTTGCGACGTTTTTCAACCCAAAAACATAAAAAATACCGTCGCACGTAGTCAAACGTCACCTTGCACATGTTTTCGGTCGAAAAAAGAAGCCGCGAATTAGTTCTCTGGCCATGTGAGTGGTGTACATTCATTTACTCGAAAGTCCTACTCTAACATAATATCGAAGTAAACAGGTTATTAATGCCGATTGTCGGCTAATTAGACCAGATTTGGGTGGGAATTAACTTAATGTCACGTTATGGGTATTAGGGTTTCATATTGTTAGGTTTGATGCTATATTAGGGTGAGGTTTGTGGAGGGAGGGGTGATTTTTGGAGAAAAGGGTAGTAGTAAGGGTAATATTTTAGGTAATAGAGCTTTGTCTTGGGTATATTTGAGCCGGAAATTTCATTTTAAATACTATTTTCAAATTTTTTTATTTAATTTAAAATTTTTTAAATTTCAGATCCAAGAATTCGAAAAGTCCTTTATGAAAATCACAAAGCCCGAAGATCGGCCGCTGAGCACGATAAAAGACGCAACCAACTCGTCACAATGCCACCACGACCCCCTCCCCGTGAAACCGCTTCTGTCCCTCCACGATGGCTACAAGGAGAACAACGAAAACGCGATGGAACTCCCGACAAATCGACGAAACCTCAAGGAATATCGCCGGAATCTGATCCAGAAACTGAACCAACGCATGAAACGCATGGTCGAAGAGGTGACGATGCGCTTCAGCAAGTGTAAACTCAAGATTCGACCGGATTATCGACTGGCACCAGCCTTTTGTGCTTTGAATTGGCGAAAAATCGAGGAAAATGCGAAGAAATCGAGGAGAAAACTGCGAAACAGCGAAAAGTCGACGGTTCAGAAGACGAAAAAGTTTGAAGAACTTCAGAAGCGAAGGCATACCTACTCGGAAAGCAGCAAATCCGCCTTCAAAAGCCTGAAACGAAAGGAAGATCAAGAAAAAATGAAGAAAATCGCAAAGAAATCGACCGAAAACACCAAAAAATCGACTGAAAGTGCGAAGAAATTTGCCGAAAATGCGAAAAAATCCAGCGAAACACCCAAAAGGTCAAGCGAAACGGACAAAAAGTCTTCAGAATCCACGAAAAAACACAACGATTCAACCAAAAAGCCGGTCGAAATTGTGAAGAAAGAAGAACGTCGTGGTAGAAAGCGAAAACACCCACTACCGGATTCAGAATCCGCAAAAAAATCAGCCTCAAAGCCGGCCAAGACCATGGATAATATGCTGGATGTGGTTCCGATGGTTCGAAAACGCAAAAGATCAAAGAATATGAAGGATGAGTATATTAAAATCAGATCAAGTAGGTTTTTAGCTATAGGTTTGGAGGTATTGGGAAATTTTCGGGGTTGGGTCTGATTTGTTTTGGCAGTTTTTGGGCGGTGAGGTCGGGTAAGGGGAAGAAATATTAAAATGCGGGAATTTTTGATAATGAATGTTAGAAATATTTTTTGATCTGATAGTAGGCTTGTATTTGCCAAGGTTTAAAATTATAACGGCCTTTCAAAAGTTCTCGGATTTTTTGCACGGTGCAATTTTTAAAAAGTATCGAAAAACTGCACTGTGGAGCACCTTTTAGGCTTTTTAATGCCATTTTGAAGACTATGATCAAATGTTTTTTAAATATGAAAGAAAAAATTTTAAAAATACTAACTTTTGCATTCCAGATGTCCTCCTAGACCAGCCACCCCGCCTACCCGAGCCAGAAGCGTGCGAATGTGAGCCAGAAGAAGCGTGTCTAACCAAAAACTGTCCTCATCGTGCCAAGAACACGGAATGCACCCAATCAACGTGTAGCATCCACTACGAATGCCGAAATCGTCGTATGTTGAGCAACGAAGCCGTCCACCAGCTTCAGATGTTCGACACCAAAGACCGCGGTCGAGGCATTAAAACCACCGTAGATATACAAGCCGGACAATTCGTATGTGAGTACGTTGGCGAGGTAATGAAGCTAGAGTCCTATCAGCTAAGGCACATGATGAGGTCAGTGGAACAACCTCGATTCGGAGTCCAATTAACTCCAAATTATGTTGTGGACGCCACCAACAAGGGTAATATCGCCAGATTCATGAACCATTCCTGCAAACCCAACTGTGAAATGCAACGATGGCAAGTCGGAAATCAATACCGCCTTGGTATCTTCGCCAAACATCACATCCCAGAAGGTCAGGAACTCACATACGACTACAAATACCACGCCCGAATGGAACCGGCTCAGGAATGCAAATGTAATGAGCCACGATGTGCTTCAACAATACCTTCACAAGCACCACCAAGACCAGTGCTGGAGCCGGAAAAGCTGACGAAACAAGAGAAGATCAGTGTCAAGGAGAATCGACTGTTTTTATTGAGAAATTTGAGGAAATCGACCAAGAAATCAATTAATTTGAAGCTGAATCTGGACAAAATTTTTGAGAGATTAGAGGAGAATGTTAAGAACGGCCAGAACGTTGAAAAACCGGAACAAAGTCTGGATGAAGTTCTGAAAAATTCGACCAAAATCGACAAAAACAACGAAAAAACGGCCAAAAATGCAGGAAAATCAACCAAAAACGAAGAGAAATCTCCTCAAGATCAGATGCCAGAAGAAGAAACCCCCTACGATCTGATCGAATTCCTGACCACATTATACGACGACCTTATCCAACACGCAGACAAGGTGAAGAAGACCAAACTAGCCCAGCTAAAGTCCCAAATCCTCAAGGTTTTCCGCCTCAAAACCTCGGAAATCCAACTACTCCAGGCCTTTGACAATACCATCAAGTTCTGGATGAATTCGCTTCAAACTTCCTGTGAAAAGCGACAAATCGAATCCCTCAGGTCACATTACACCCACATCAAGAAGAACAAGGATGTGCTTAAGTTTATGCAAGACCAGAAGGCCCTTAATACCAAAGAAGCCGTCAAAAGCTTCACCGAGGACCGAAAACGCACCAGTTTGAATGGTACCACCGCGAAACGCACCGATACAAGAGTACTATCGGCCGATGCGGATCTAACATACATGGATAAGGACCTAGAACCAGTGGGATCGTACAACAATGATAATATGGTGTGTATCGAGGAGAACACGGACAGCAGCGATTGTGTTAGATGTGTGTGTGGTATGTTCGAAGACGATGGAAAGATGGTCGAATGCGACACGTGCAAGTTCTGGCTTCACGCTGATTGTGTCAAGTAGGTTTTTATTTTGATGTTGGAAAGCTGGCTTGATAAGGTTTTGAAGATTTGCTCTGAAATTATTGAAAAATCGAAGAAGAAAACGCGATATTTTTATAGGTGGTTTGAGGAGAATTTAAATTTTTCGAATTTAAGAGGTCAAACGGCAAATCTTTTTATAATAAAAATATAAAACAGATATCCCGCTACATTTCTATAACGATCTCTTACTGTTTTACTTTCAAAATTGTAATTTATCGGCTGAAAATTTCAGTCAATATTTATGAACCGCATCGCCAATATTGACTTATCATATTTTCGGAGAAAAAAGAAATAATCTTTCCTTTTCCAGATACGACAGTAAATCCGACGACTACGAATGCGATTTCTGTCTGAAAAGCATCAAATCCCCTCCAAAAGCTGATATTGTGCTGAATCCACAACCAGACGAGACTCTACCTAACTGCACCTACTATCGCACCTTGGTAACCTCTCGTGGACTTCAAGTTCGCATCAATGAAGCCGTGTACGTTGAAAAGACAATCAACGAAGACTACAAGGTCATTCTGAAGCAGTTGCTGGATCAAACACCAAAGAAAAAGGCCAAAAAGGGTGATGTTAAGGAGGGAAAGAAGAGTGAGGTGAAGGATAACAAGAAGATTAAGAAGGAGAAACAGGAATGGAAAAGAAGCGACTTGAGATGCTTCAGAATAGAACGTTTGTTCACAGGACCGAACGGCGAAAGATTTGTGTTTGGATGTTATTACGCACGACCGCATGAAACGTTCTGCGACTCGAACCGCTTGTTTCACAAGAAAGAGGTAAGTGTTTGTTGTTATTTCTTTGATGTTTAGGTACCTTATTACAAAAAGAAGGTTGTGGAGATTAGGAATAGTTTTTAAAGGTTACTGGAGGTTAGGGACTTGCTTTTCTTTAGAAAATTGAAACATTATATTATACTAAACTATAGTTATGAAAATTGATGTTTTTGACTAAAATGTCGGCATTTGAGACGATTTTTTATGAATAAGAGAGAGCATTCTGAGGGAGCTAACAAGTACAAATTTACTTGGTGTCTTATTTATTTTTGGGTCAAAACATTTAAAAATAGGGGAAGACGATGTTACACTAGGTGGCTAAGGAAAATCACTGTTTTTGCTGCTAGATTTAGTTTGAAAATGGAATAATTGCTTAAAGAAGATAGGAAAGGATTTGATTAAGTTTTACTAATAACGATTTACGAATCAAAACGTTACATTTTATATCATTTTAGCTGTTCTGGACTCCTCTCTTCAACACCTTACCCTTGGACGCCGTAGTCGGTCGCTGTTTGGTACTAGAGCCAAATTCATGGTGCGAAGGTCGACCCAAAGAACCATTTTACAAAGAGGACGATGTATATGTGTGTGAGTATCAGATCGACAAGTCTCAGCGGACATTCACCAAAATGCCAGCCAACACCCATTACACTCCGAACAAGGAGAGCTACGTCTTCAACAAGTTCACAGAACCATTAAAAATCAAGCGAGACTTTACTCCGTTTGTATTGACAATGGGCGAAAAGAAACCGGACCGACATGAGACTCGGGACAAGTGTGTCAGCTCGGCCAAGGAATTGGTAGGTTGTGTTTGATGTTGTAGTAGGGAAATTTGATGTAGCTTATAGGAAGGTGAGTTTATCTAGGTGAATTTTGGTTTATTTTGACGGGAAAAGATTTTAGAATGTTTTCTATTGGGTTTCAATGGTATAAGAAGATTGGAAATGGCAAAGATTTAATGGTTTTTGATGTTATAGTAGGTAAAAGTAGACAGTTTAAGAAAGTTGATGTAACAGAAGAAAACCATGGCCGATTCTATTAATTTTAGATTTATTTTAAGCTAAAAAGACTGGAAAATGCTTATTATATTTTTTTAAGTATGCAACTATATTAGAAATGGCAAAATTTTCAAGTTTTAGATATTGTAGTAGGCAAAAATGGGTAAAGTTGAAGAAAACTAGAGTTTTTGAAAATATTAATTCTTAACATCTATAAAGTCTTACTTATTTTGTTGTTTTAGAACATGGAGAACCTGAAGGCAGTCATAGCGAACATTGAAAAGCATCAGCTTTCCCACAAACCACGATCGAAATAAGGATTCTGGAAATCCGAGTGAAGAAAACAGCCCGGTTACGGTAAATACCTACTGTATTTACTTTTGTATAGGTTATACGTTGTATTTGACTAGATATCTGACTGGTTTTTGGCTACAAATCTTGATTTTTTAAAAACTTTTTGAAATTTTAATTTTTGAATGTTTCGTATTTTAAAATTGAAAATTTATGTGGAAATTCAAAGTTTCGGCCGAAAATCAGTCCAACACTTGATGATAACTCCCTTACCTCCGATTGATGTCATTTATTGAGTCAAAAGTGCATTTAGTCTCTAGCTGTGCATGTACAACATCATCACGTTGTACCTGTTGTTAATGTAGATTTTCCGCCTCATTATCCAACTTTTATAGCATTAAGCCGTTACGTATGTAATAACTATATAGTATAATAACTCGTACCCATTTTTGGCTCTCTAGAAATCTCTGTTAAATCCCATTGATTATAGTTCACCTCGAATTGTTACCATATTACAGTAACCTTACTGCAGTAACCTTTGCCCATTTTACTCTCTCCCCGTGCTTAATCCAACCGCTAATTAATGTCGATATCAACTTTTATCTCTTTTTTACTATGCCATCGTATCTTGTGACATGTAGATGAATGTGTATATTACTATAATTGTTTTTTGTTATCAACATATTTTGTCAAATGAAAGAATATTAAATTATATTGATATTTGAACGGATTTTTTGAACTTTTATTGTAGATTTTACAGTAATCTTACCGTAAATCTTACGATTTTTGATGTTAGTGCAATATAAATAGTTATAACGTTTTTTAAAAGTAATTTAAAGCGTTGAAAATTTACAGTTAAAGTGGTCACGAACTCATAATTTATTTTGGTTTTTCAAATATAGCCTATGGTTAAATGGGCATGATTGATCGTAAAACATGACACCTGCAGCTCGCAGTTGCTGGGCCGCAGCCGTTTGGTGACTGAATTCGATTTTGCTTCGAGAAATTGCTTTGATTACCTTTTCCTTTTGTTTTCTTTGATCTCTTGGGTTGAAATTCGTTAAAATTGGTTAAATATGCAATAATAATGCTCATTCAAGTATTTTTTTGAGGAAAATAGTTGATTGTTGAGGGTATATTAGTTTTTTTATGTTAAAATCTTGTTTTTGATGTTGTTTTGGGATGTATGAACGAGTTTTACGTGTAAATATTGTTTATGTTTATGTAATTTTATGTTTTCTATGTTATAGAGGTAGTCTAGTCTTTGGGAAATGGAAAGAGGTTACGGGCAGAAGAACATCCTCAACCAACCGATTTCTTGGTTAGCTGGACGAAGTCGAACATTGGCCAGACGACAGTTCAAATTTGATGTCATACGATTCATTGGAAGGAGAACAAGTTGTTTGACAATGTAAGCTTTGTTTCTTTTGTGTTTAGGTTGATTTGGAGGATTTTTATGTGTTTTTTCGCGTCAGAACCATGGATAACATGCATTTAATTAACTTTTGTTTTTCAGACGAACTAGATGAATGACTTGTTGCAACGAGCTGAGTCAGGACATGGATCATGTGGAGAGCTACAAATCAAGGCCTTTTAAGCTTGGTGGAGTTTTGAACGAACATTTTAGCCATTGATTTTGGTGGTATAGACAGCTGAATGAATAACGACCGTGAATTCGATTCTACTCTTAATGTAAGTTGATTTTATTGTGGATGTTATAGTTATAAAGGGTTTGAAGTTAAAAAATCTTAAAGCACAGAAATTTCGAGGTCTTGATGGATATTATCTTTGTTGCTTTGATATCATGGATAATATGGAGTTTTCTCATATAAAACGTGATTTTTTGTAAGATTGTTGATTTATTTAAAATTTTTATTGTATTTCTGAAGTTTTAAAAGAAAAATTTCCTATTTTATCGTTTTCGTGATTGAAATATTAACATAGACGTTAGATGGTTATAGACAATATTTCGAGGGCTTGAGTAAGTTTGGTATCGATGACTTTTGTTTGAAAGGTTGTTTTAATTTGTTTTTTGTTATCTTCACGGTACTTTCTGTCATAGATCTGAGGGTCGTTGTTATATTTACATTGAGAAAGTGCGGATATTAACATATGCTTTTGATGTGTCATGGATAAGTTAACAATTTTGTTTAAATATGTCAATTAAGAAATTTGTTTAAATATGTCAATGCAAATGTTGTAGAAGTTGCCACTAATCTGGCGGAATTGTCGAAGAGGCTCAAACATCTATCCATTTGTAGTTGGACAACAAAGATCTAGGAAAAACCATAACCAATGTCAGACACGATTCCGAAATGTCATTTGAAGTCAGAAGGATCAGTCCGTAAATCTAAAGGGCATGAAGAAAGAAATTAATCTATGATAATGTTTGTATTGTTTATTGTTTTTTTATTACCTGTTTGTCGTGTTGTTGGTTTTTGTATCGTTCTGAGTTTTACTTGTTTTTCAACTTTTTTCGTTTATTTTTGATTGTATTGTGCGTGTTATGTTACTATTTACCGCGTTGTTGGGTGGGTCTCTGTACCGTGCCGCCTTCTGATGGCTTCGGTTCCTAGCTAGGTTAGGAGGAGGTCCAAGAGCAAGGTGGGACGACAGGTCTGCTGGCAAGTTATAGATGGTCACTACTTCTTGAATTTTAAAGGTTTTGACCTGACTAAATTCGAATTTTTTGGCCGAAACTTGATTTTTTCGAATGTTTTGTTGAATTGCCGTTTTAAAATGCTAAAGGACTGTTTTTGAATTCTAGCTTCAGACTTGTTTGACCTCCATGCATAGTGTCTGGTATACTCTGACTGACACTTTCGGCCAAAGACCGGTCGAAAATAGGATGAAAAGTAGATTTTAAAAGATTTTTTTACGAAAACGAAATTTTTATCTTCAAAGTTCCAAAAAAGCGTTTTTTTTATAAAACTTTGTTCTAGTTTTAGAAATTTAACTTTTGGTCGAAAAAATCGAACTTTGAAAGAACGCTTTTCTGCAGTTTTTTTTCATTAAAAACTTGTAATTGTCGATACTAAATTTTGATTTTTGTCATTTTAAATCTCTTTTTCGCCCAAACTAACTTTCTGCCCATTTTTTGACCGGTTTTTGGTTGAATTTGCTTGATCTTTGTCCCTGTCAGGTGCGCCTTGGGTGTTGTCCCAACTGTTCGCGAAGACTGAGAAGTCAGAAGTAGCTCGGTTGTCAGAGACTTCACCTTGGGAAAGGAGGTACCCACCTCCTTCCCCGCTTGGAGGGGGACTTCATCACCCCGTCCTCCAAGAAAAATAAGGGGGAGATTATTCGAATAAACAATACGCAGGCATAATCGATTATATTTATTCAAAGAAAAATTGGTCATGGCCTCCTGCTCAGGAGGTGGATACTGAGTTCCCCTACTTGGTGGGACCAAGCGGGGTCAGCTCCACCCCCACAGGAAAGGGAACGAATTCCCTCTCCCAAGGTGAGTCTCTGCCGAGATGCCTTCTGATTTCTCGGACTTCGCGAACAGTTAGGACGACTTCCAATGCGTACCTGACAGGGACAAAGATCAAGCAAATACCGGTCGAAAGCGGACAGGAAGTTGAAGTTTGGGCGAAAAAAGGCTTTCAAATAACAAAATCAAACCTTAGTATAAAAACTGGAATTTTTACAATTTTTTGCAAAAAAGAGTTTAGGAGGTCAGACAAGGTCTGGAGCCAAATTACCCTTAAAAAATGTCTTTTTCTGCCAAAAATGCATCCCAATTTTAATCAAAATCAGCTTTTCCGAATCCAAAAACAACCTTTTACCATTTTAAAATGGCAATTTAGCTAAACCTTCCAAAAAACCAAGTTCCGGCCGAAAAATTCAAATTTAGTCAAGTCAAAACATTAAAATTTAAAAGTAATGACTATCTATAACTTGCCAGCAGACCTGTCGTCCCACCTTGCTCTTGGACCTCCTCCTAACCTAGCTAGGAACCGAAGCCATCAGAAGGCGGCACGGTACAGAGACCCACCCAACAACGCGGTAAATAGTAACATAACACGCACAATACAATCAAAAATAAACGAAAAAAGTTGAAAAACAAGTAAAACTCAGAACGATACAAAAACCAACAACACGACAAACAGGTAATAAAAAAACAATAAACAATACAAACATTATCATAGATTAATTTCTTTCTTCATGCCCTTTAGATTTACGGACTGATCCTTCTGACTTCAAATGACATTTCGGAATCGTGTCTGACATTGGTTATGGTTTTTCCTAGATCTTTGTTGTCCAACTACAAATGGATAGATGTTTGAGCCTCTTCGACAATTCCGCCAGATTAGTGGCAACTTCTACAACATTTGCATTGACATATTTAAACAAATTTCTTAATTGACATATTTAAACAAAATTGTTAACTTATCCATGACACATCAAAAGCATATGTTAATATCCGCACTTTCTCAATGTAAATATAACAACGACCCTCAGATCTATGACAGAAAGTACCGTGAAGATAACAAAAAACAAATTAAAACAACCTTTCAAACAAAAGTCATCGATACCAAACTTACTCAAGCCCTCGAAATATTGTCTATAACCATCTAACGTCTATGTTAATATTTCAATCACGAAAACGATAAAATAGGAAATTTTTCTTTTAAAACTTCAGAAATACAATAAAAATTTTAAATAAATCAACAATCTTACAAAAAATCACGTTTTATATGAGAAAACTCCATATTATCCATGATATCAAAGCAACAAAGATAATATCCATCAAGACCTCGAAATTTCTGTGCTTTAAGATTTTTTAACTTCAAACCCTTTATAACTATAACATCCACAATAAAATCAACTTACATTAAGAGTAGAATCGAATTCACGGTCGTTATTCATTCAGCTGTCTATACCACCAAAATCAATGGCTAAAATGTTCGTTCAAAACTCCACCAAGCTTAAAAGGCCTTGATTTGTAGCTCTCCACATGATCCATGTCCTGACTCAGCTCGTTGCAACAAGTCATTCATCTAGTTCGTCTGAAAAACAAAAGTTAATTAAATGCATGTTATCCATGGTTCTGACGCGAAAAAACACATAAAAATCCTCCAAATCAACCTAAACACAAAAGAAACAAAGCTTACATTGTCAAACAACTTGTTCTCCTTCCAATGAATCGTATGACATCAAATTTGAACTGTCGTCTGGCCAATGTTCGACTTCGTCCAGCTAACCAAGAAATCGGTTGGTTGAGGATGTTCTTCTGCCCGTAACCTCTTTCCATTTCCCAAAGACTAGACTACCTCTATAACATAGAAAACATAAAATTACATAAACATAAACAATATTTACACGTAAAACTCGTTCATACATCCCAAAACAACATCAAAAACAAGATTTTAACATAAAAAAACTAATATACCCTCAACAATCAACTATTTTCCTCAAAAAAATACTTGAATGAGCATTATTATTGCATATTTAACCAATTTTAACAAATTTCAACCCAAGAGATCAAAGAAAACAAGAGGAAAAGGTAATCAAAGCAATTTATCGAAGCAAAATCGAATTCGGTCACCAAACGGCTGCGGCCCAGCAACTGCGAGCTGCAAGTGTCACTTTATACGAAAAAACATGTCTTAACAAAAATACGACATACATCAAAACAATTAAATAAACAATAATCAACGGTAATAAACCTTCAAAAATTTTAAAAACTTGACGTTCCACCTAATTTTTCACCTTTTATCCTAGGTTCAGTCAAAAACTACAACAATATACAACGTTAACAAGAATGCTACACCCGCTATCATTTTACGACTCGTATTGTCTCATACTGTCGAATTGGATGCGTCGATGGGCCAGATCTCGAGCATAACCAGAATATTGTGATGGAGGTTGGTTGGGATCTTGAGTTAGTTCGCGAGATTCGTTGAACATTCTGGAAAGACGGCAGTTAGAAAAAACTGGACAAAATCTTGATTTTTAATAAAAAAATTTTTAAAAATTTCAAAAAATTTCATTTGCGTCTTTAAATGGCACTTTTAGCCCAAAAATAGTCAATTTTAATGAAAAAAATGAAAAATTGTCATTTTCAAATAAAAAAAAACTAAGTTCTTATCACAAATTTCTAATTTCTGTGACCAAAAACAACGTATGAACCCAAAAGTTTCCATGTCAAACAAAAACGCCAATTTTATCCCAAAAATCCTCATTTCCAATGCAAAACACCCACTTGTCCTGCCAAATAATATTATGGCCGTAGAGAATGCCGGATGGTGGTCCCAGATTGCTCGCCATTCTCGATCGAGGCTTCGGCTTCGTATTAATGGATTTAAGGTTTAATTCGACCGATTCGTCGCTGAAAAGACTGTCGTTTGGTGATGGGATTCTGATGCGTTTTTGGTCAGTGTTCGTGTAGATCAGGTGCCGTTTTTGATATGATACCTAAAGAAAATCGTGTTAATAGTCACAATATGGAGCCGATATGTTGAGGAGAGAGAGAAGAAGGGAACAGGGGGTAGTGAGAAAGGAGAGGGGTAAAACAGTTTACACCAGTTGAAGCTTCAACACCCTAAAACAACCTACCTTCGTATCCACAGGACTCAGTTCCCGCGAAGAATCTCCACCCCGCTCCAGATATCTTTCGTAGTCGCTTCCGATGCTGGCAGCTTCGAAGACTGACTCCATTTCGTCCAGCGACACCATGTCGGCGGTTCGTTGTCGTCTGGCCAGCTTTTCGGCCGTTCTCTCGCGGTGCACGATAATTTCGCCGCTATCCGATTCGTCCAGCAGCTGATCCATCTTGGATTGCGTGGGGCTGGCGAGAATTTGGCCAGCTTCGTTAAACAAATGTCGTGATGGCGCGAATCCCATCGATTCGTTTTCGATCATCGAGGGTGATGGACCTAAAGTAATATCAGAAAAATTTTTTTAAATTTAAATCGGTGTTTTAAGACAAATTTATAGTAAAAATACATAATATTAGGCGAGGTTATACTACTAAAGGCAACTTATATTATTATATATCTTCTAAACATGTCCAAGCGTCCCCCCCCCATTCACATTAAAACCGCATTTTTTAACACTCTAACCAATCAAACTCGTACATAATTAAACTAATAACAAACTCACAATCTTCTTTACTATTCAATTCATCTGAGTTGTCCGGAGTCACTTCAATAATCGAGATTTCCGAAATCTGTTCATTCAAGTCATCATCCGTGATATCCATAGATTTGTCCTTGATTGTAGACCGACTAACATAATTTGACATTATAGACGAACGTCCTCTTGGCTTTTCACCCGTCGTATGTTTCGTTGTAGTCATTGTCGTATCGGTGACACGATTTTCTTTGTCCGATGCTTGCTAAAGTACATCAATATCAGTTTTTGCTTGATTACATAGTGAAAATAGGTAAAAAGTAACATTTTTAAACCTAAATCGATATGGAACTCGTTTTCTTGCTCAAAATACCACTTCAGTTACTATTTTTATTCAAGTAGGAGTTCTTATATTGTTTTAGTTGGATAAACTTCTTGGACATTTTTCATCGTATAACATGTCCACTTTTTTAAAATTTTTTAAAAACCTAATCATTCCCTTAAAAATACTGATACTTACACTAATTTCCGGTATTCGTAAACTTTGATTTATAGTCGATATCGAGGCCTGACTCGTGATGTTGTTCACCCAGGTCTTAATGTCAAATGGTTGTGATATTATTGAGTGAAGGTCGGCAGCAGCGGGTTGTTCAAAAGTTGAAAACAATTCCTCACAAATAAAGTCATTTTCGCCGTTCTCCATTGAATGAGCACGGTCCCAGATCACGTCCAACCATCCCAAACCAACAACATTGCCTTTCGCGGCGATGATGGCCTACAAATCAACTGAATTTCGTATTTTATCAACTTTAATCATGCCTATGGGGTAAATGGTTTAAAAGACAGGTTTCTCAACTATATTCTGAATAAGTTAAGCATCGAAAAGTTGGAAAATTGTTCTGAAATTTGGCTTTAATCTTGATATTGTTTATGACAGCTATAGCATGTTTTTTAACGACCTGTACGAGCCCAACAGAGTAGCACTTCAAGTCTAACATCAATTAAAAGCCAATATTTGAGATACATTTCAAACACAAATTCAATACCTAAAGCTGAAAAAATGTAGCTCAAAGTTGATATTATTCATGACAGCTTACCTTAACATCACGATCTGTTTTACAGAACTCGCGCACCAATAAAATAGTCGTTTTCTCTGTGAATACTCTTCGAACAGCTCCTCCCAACCTTAAGATACGTGCTCGAATATCGTCCTAAACAATTCTTTTTAAATTTTAGTTTCAGAATCAACATTTATATTATACTTGAGATTTGTCGAATTGGATAAACAAATCTGATTTTCAAGACTTTTATTTTAATCAAAAAAGTCTATGTTACATCTTTAAATATCAAAATAACAGACTCCTAAACATGTAAACAAACGCTTTAAACTCAAATTACTTCTTGATCTAACGCAAACCCTTGAACTGTAACGTAATGTCCAGAAAGAACGGTCGACCAAGTCGGCAGCATTCTCATGGGTAACTCTCTTCCCCAAAAGTAGCACTGTATAACCACCAAAGGTGAAATTATCCTAAAATATACATTTTTTACAGAATCAAGTAAAAATCCATTAAAAACACATAGCAGCAAATTGAGCTTTCAATTGTTTATATTACCCATGATAAACACATAAACCTAGTTGTAAAGAACACTTACTTCACCCGAATATTCTTCAAATACTCGTAACAAGGGCCGCTAAACTCTGGCAAAACAAATACACGTTTATCAGTGTTGATTTCAACGTCAGAAACCCGAAAAAGTTCGAACTCGGCCAAATTCTCGTGGTCAAACCAACTTGGTGCTAATCCAGCTGTTTTTGCCAACTAAAATATTTCTTTAATTATAATTGCCATAATATAGCTTTGATAACATCTACAAAACTTAAAAAGCCCTATTAATATATATAAAAATGCTCTATTTTCGCAAAATAAAGGAATAATAACATTTCTCTTGACTAACACCATAAGTAATATAAAAAATGCTGCAAAGAAATGAAGCCTGAACTATTCAATCCAAAACTACATGCACAGCTTCACTAATGTCTACTCTAACTATATGAAAAATAACAAAAACTTCAGACAAAAACCCGCCAAGACACAAGCCATTTCCCGATATTCACCATCAAACCATGTTATTTCAACTTTTTCTTTAGCAATATATTTTAACCTAATAATTTTAAATTAACTAAAACAAGGTGTCAGAAGACTTTTCCGTGTGTTTACAACAATTTTAAGATTGAAAATAGCCTGTTTCACATCAAAATGTCTCATTTTACATCCTTCACCTAAAAATCAAGAAAAAAACAATGAAAACCTTACCAGAAAAGCTCGGAATTGAGTGAAACATACAGCAACCTCCCAATTATTCTGGCAATTCGTCTCTGGCAATGCGAAATGAAGTTCCGCACAGTTTTGGACCATCACAAAGACATTTCGCCAAAAATTCGAGGAAATTTTTCGAAAAAAAAGAAAAAATAAGGTTTGAACGAAGTTTTTCGCGGGAGAAAAAGTGGGAGCAGGTCGGAAATTGTATTTTTTTTATAAATCAGAAACAAATATAATAGAAGTCAGCATCAAACTAGCAATTCCTTTATCTTAAAATCGGCCCAATATAAATACATTTTATCCATGCCAATTAAGCCCAATTTCAATATCTGTTCTTCAACTTTAGACCTGTTTATTCCTATTTCTTAAGGCATTAAATAAAGAATCCCATGGTTCACAACAGTAAAACCAAAGAGCCGATTAACAAGGCGACGATAAGATGAATGCAGTTGCCGGCTGAAGTTTCGTCCTCATCCTTATTTTGAGTTATATCATCATTCTGAGTTTCCTCATCGTGCTCACTATCGTCATCTTGACCTTCATCGTGACCGCCATCGTCACTGTCATCATGACTCTGTTCGTCGCCACTACCTTTCGGACGAGTGATGGGCGCAACGTATTTCGTAGTGGTTGTGGTCGTGGCAACGGTTGTAGTCGGCCTCTCCTGTTCCACGATCTTTTTCATGATGGTGAAGATCTTGTCAGTGTGCTTTGGCCATGGTGTGAAGGAGCGAAGCATACCTTTTCTAAAAAGAAAGCATTAAAGACTATTCCAAAGCTTATTTAAAAACTCACTTTTCGTTTGCAAAGAAAGAGTACGGCTTCGTTCTGGACAGATCGGTGGTATCAATGTGAAGGTTAGGTTGATTATCAATGAAATTCCACTCACTAACATCTTTGAAGTAAAAAACGTGACTGAAATCAAGCTTTTATTATTAAGATTGACAAAACATACATACTTTGGCAGATCTTCGTGATGGAACTGATAATATGGAAAAGTCTCAGTCAGTTTTGGTTTGTGCAACAGTTCAATCGTCATTTTGCCCAAACGACCGGCTGATGGGTAGGGAGTGTTGATCACCATGTTGGTCTCAGTGTCAATCGCACAAAACTCATTACTGACCTAAAACATGTTTTTTGAAACTTTCATATAATTAAAAAAAGGAAGGGCTGATCCAAAATTGCATCAAATATCCGTCGGCTTTTGGTATGCCACCTATATAGGATGAAAGAGCATAAACAATATTATACCTTTTTAGTCATAAGTTTTGTTTTTAGCTACTTTTTAAAGCAAATATTTATTTAAAAATAGTATTTTTTGAACTTTAAAGATACGCCTTTTAATCATAATGAAAATATTGAGCGTACTGTAACTCAGTAGCCAAAGACATTTAGCAGTTTTTGAAAATAACTTTGACGGCAACTTTTTATGGCCTTTCGTCCTATATAGATCACATACCAAAACCCTGGGAGTATTTGGGTACTTGGTGCAACTCGCTTTTTAGTCCAAACTGAGCCACTTCGCTATGAGCGCAACTTTAAAGAGAAGAGGTGGATCCCACCCATCTCCCCTTAGTCTAAAATGACCCTCCCTAACTTGGAACAACAAAAACCACCGAAACTTTGCAAGAACTACCCAAACGTTTCACGAAAACCAAAACTTACAAAACATTTTTCCCGAATTTGTTTTAGCAAGTCCGAACTGACCCTTTCGCCGGGGATGTCGTTCATATCGGTGATAAAACTCCTAAACAAAAAATCACGCAAAATTCACTTTTTTCCAATTCTAACACTTTGGGCAAGAAAAAGAACCACACAACTAGTCCCGATTGCCAGTCGATTGGCTGATTTCGTTAAAAATTTGGCAGCCGACTTCGTTAAAAACTTGCCAGTCGATTAGTCGACTTTCGTTAGAAACTTACGCCTCGTCGTAGACCTTTTTAATCCTCTTTTGCAAGTCAACGACACGATCCTTGTCGTAGAAGACGTAGTCAATATAAGCAAAAGCTCGCTCCTTCTCCTTCCACAGTTTTCTGGTGTTCATCTGAAACATAATTAAATGTTATGTTAGCTAAAGGGTGTTTTCTTGTTTCCATCATGTTATTGTAGATGTTAAAAAACGTTATTTTTATTAGGTTGGACCAAAAGTATTGTGACAGTTTTCATTTTTTTTGACTAAAAAGTGTCACGCTACTTTTGTTTCAACACAATAAAAGTTTTTGCAACCAAATTTTAAACGGTACATTATGCATCATAGCGCGGCATTATCAAAATCAACTTACGCCGGATGGAACCATCGTGATCGTGCCGTCGTCCGCCACTTCAGATGTGAACAACACTTGGTTGTCCTGCGAGAAGAAGGCCGGCCTGCCGCGGCCAATGATTGGAAAACGAAGAGTGGATACATCCTCGTCATTTTTTGTGTTATCTGAAACCAGAAAATCGAAAAAATGAAGCTTCTCAAAGACGGGCCGGCCCGTTTCTCACTTCTACCGAGAAGAAAGTAAAAAATTTTAAAAAATCAACGGTGATAGGGCTGATCAGTCAATCTGATAAGGACTTGGCCTCTTACTTAACAATCAATAAAAAAATAAAGCGAAAAACTTACAAAAGAAGCCGAAGGTAACGTAAAGATGAGAAACCTGTCCTTTGCGGCCTAAAACCAATTTGTCTAAACAAAAAGAGCCAAACACCTACTGAAGCCGTGAACTTTTTCAAGAATGTCCTTGCCGTATTTGTCACACATAGATCGTTCGCATTGCATCGTGTATTCCACAAAATAATCGTCGAACGCGTCCTTCTCCAGAGCCACGCATTTCTGGTCCTCACGCTGCTTCTTGCACTCAAACTTCAGATGATCCTTATTGTAGTCAACGTCGTATATATGAGCACCGCTCGTCCATGTCAAGCAGAAACACAACACTAAGCAACCTAACCACATATCCGAAACAAAATGACTGCCATTTGCGTCGAATGAAGCAAAAATAAAAAATTTGCATAATAGCACCTTTTTTCTGTTTTTGAGTGTTATGAAGGCGACCGACAGTTCCAGGCTGTTTTTCGCAATGACACATCTTACAACATCTAAATATTGATTGCAATTGGAAAAAAATGACAAATTGTGATTCAACAGTAGTTGATCATTTGTTTCGCTTTAATTTATTTTTCAAATGTGCAACACTCACAGCTCATATCATAGTTCATATAAAACGTACAGATTCGCACTTTACGCAGTATAAATACTGTTCCAAAAAATTTGAAAAAGATGAAATTCTTTTTTAATTGTAAGTTTTTTTTTGTTTTTTCGCTTTATTATCTTGATTTTAAAATTTTAAATATCAATTTATAGTACATTTTTTGGGTTTTTCAAATAATTCTGTGCCACCTAACCCCGAAATCAGTGTTTTGCCGGACCAGTCCGGTCCGGACCGGTCCGGAAAAAAAAATTTTTTTTTTTAAATTGCAAATAAAACATATTTTTAAGAGTTTTTAAACGTAAAGAAAGCAGTTTTAGCGCTCCTGGCTCTTTTTAAAAATAAAAAAAAAATTTTCCGGTCCGGACCGGACCTGAGCGAAAAAAAATAGTGCCGGACCGGACCGAAAAAATTCTCATCCGGACCGGTACGGCAAAACACTGCCCGAAATTTGCTTTGAAAGAGGGCCCAGAAATTGTTCGACCAACTTAATAAAACACCCTTTATAGCAAAAATTTATTAATTGACTCCCCCTCCCCCTGCCTAAGAATGGGAGCAAATCTGCTTATAAAAACCTTTACCAAACTTTGTGACAAATTCGCGCTTTAGCCCAAAAAATGACTTTTTAAGCATATGCAGACCTGTAAAAAGACCAGGCCGGGCCTTGGTTTGAGCCGCGGTCCTCGGGCGCACATGTGCCAGCCCTGCCCCCATTAAATTTGCTTTGATCCAACCCAATGAGGCTCGAAGACGGGCCTATTAAGCCCCTTTTCAGGTGTAAGCCTGGCCTAGTGGCTCCCTTTCTAAACCTATGTAAAAACGTTAAAACTGCTTTTTAGTTATTGAGTTTGTCCAATGTCCATGCACAATATTTAAATGTATTGCCTCCGACAGTGAGCACTCCAAACGACGCAGAAACAACTACACCCGTACCAGATACAACATGGCTTATTTTTTGTAAGTTTCTGTAAGGTTGCTATTTGGTTGTTCGAGCAATTCTGTGCCGTTCATAAATTTCAGGCCCGGCCCTTGAGGTCACAAATTATTTTTTTTTGAAAAAGTTAAAAAATTGTACCCAGCCCGTTAGTCATTGCGAATTTTCAGACATCGTCGCAATCATGACCGTTTTACTACTGGCTGTTTTGAGTTTACTAGTGATATTCCTCAAGAAAAGATGCGGGTTTTTTAACCCGCGCACTTAACCTGCTTCTTACTTTTTTATTCATTATGTATATGCAATTTAATTTTATTGTATCTATTCCGTATTTAATTTTGTATCTTTTTTTGTATTTATTTATTATCTTTTGAATAAAATTTATATTTTGGCGTTCGTGAAAAAACTTTAATTCATATTGTCCATGATAAGCTGATAAAAGCCATTGAAAAACGGGACTTACTTTACTCGAATTCTCTAACAATACTCGTAACAAGGGCCGCACGGCTCCCCAAGCCGTAAAATCAATCAAAATATAGTTTCGTCATCGATCGTCTTTTCCGATAATTTGTGACTTTTCGTTATGGCGGCCGCTTTTTTATTTTTTGTCGCGTCTTTGGCTGTAATAGCGTCCAAACTTGACGGATTTTCATCGGTTTTGCTCCCAGAGAAGCGGAAAAACATAATATTTAAACAAAATTTAAAAGTAAAACCGTGTATTACCACATATACATAGCATAACTTGAAATATATTTTACAACATTTTTGTATTTTTTATTTTTCGAATTAATAGTTGAGCCGACGAAATGTCTAAAATCGATTTTTAAATAATTTTCTATTTTTGGGGAGCCGTGGCCGCTGAAATTCGGCAAAAAATACACGTTTATCAGTGTTGGTATCGAATTCGTCAAATTTGAACATTGTCACTTTGGATGATTCTGACGATGACATTATCTGCATCTCATGAAATTATATTGTAAATAACCCGAAATTAGTGATTTAAACGTGTTTTCGACAGGGTTGGACGCAGGGCGGGGCAGGGCATTTCAACAGGCATTTTTTTGAATTTCGTTTTCCCGCCAAACTATCTTGAAAACTGTAATAGCTATCAAGAAAATAACAACGTAAAATGGATTAGCAGTGTTTAAAACCCATTTCTAGGAATTTTTGCGTTTTTAGGCCTAGCCAAAAAAAAATTTAAAAAAAGCGCGCCAAAAAACAATTCAAAAATGCCCTGTTACAGGGCCCATGCTCTGCCCTGCGTCCAACCCTGGTTTTCGAGGAAGTGTAGCTTGCTAGCCAAGCAAGCATGGCAGTTTTTGAAAGTTGATTGATAACTTTTGACACTGTTTCATATGATATAAGTTATTTTTCAATTGACGGTATATAGTTTGTAACGTTCTCTTGTAAAATAATAAATTTTTTAAAAGAAAAACGCGGGGCACCATGGTGGTGTCCCGCGTTTTTACGTAATACGACAAAGTGTAAAAAGACGCAAAGTCGTTGTTGATGAAAGCGTTTTACTTTAGTCTAGGTTGGATTTAAAGCACTGCTTTGTGTGTTAAAATATTCTGGTAAAAATGTCTATTGCCTGCTTACCGCCAGAGGTATGTTTTTGATACTTTTCAATAGTTTGAGATAGTTTTCATATTTATAAAAGCACTTGATAAAACACTTCTAATATGAAATTAATTGAAGGAATATATGGGCCCGGTAAGCGGGAAACCAAGGTTTTTGCGGTGGTAAATTTTTTGCCAAAACATCTTTTTCCGTTTACTGTCGGTTTTTTCGCAGTAGCACCTTATTCTGGAATATTTTTGAATACTGATGATAAAACTTGACTGTCTGAACTATAATACTGCGTGGTACTAAATCAAACTTTTTTAAAAGCTTAAGCATATTAAACGTTTAGTTGTGGCACAGGGTCATCCGGCATTTGACGATAATGGAGGATACTTGTTCGTTGGCTATGGTGAGCAAGTACTTCTACAAGCTTGTCAAAATGGATTTTAAACGGGAATGTTACAATCATGTAGTATATCGTTTAAAAGGCGAGACTTGGGTGTATGCTTTCTCAGAGTAAGTTTCTTAACCATAGTGTTTAATTTTGTGTAAAATACTAAGTGTTTTACTTTTTAAATAAATAAACAAGGACATTCAAGTCAAGTATCATGTTGGCAAACATAAACGTTGGTTGGATGTGTCTTAAAAAATGCATCTATGTTGTATCTTATTGTTAATTAATAAGCTTTAACTATTACCATCATTTTAGCCTTGGATCTCGTTCATATAATACTATCCTTACGAAAATCGACTTTTACAGAGATAACGCCATTTGTTGTCCATTTACAGGAAAAATAGCTTTAGCAATTAACGATGCTTATGTATTATTGACCAACATTGACTTTGGTCTCGGAGAATTTACTATTCTCGACTTTTCTTCATACATTAACAAAGTCACAAGAGTCAACATGATACATCGAGGGAAGGAGCTCTTGGTTTATAGTTTGACCGTTTTATTGGTGTATGACTTGATGTGGATGCAGGTAAAAATGCCACCCTATGATCGCCCACGAAACAAGGGTTATCAAACAGCACTATATGATACTGTTCTTGAACTTTACACTAAAAAAGAATACAAAATTTGCGCAAGAAGGCCATTCGGTATAGTATCGTACCTCAATATGTATGATACGACAAAATACTTTGCGGTACATACAAAAGAAAACCAACTTGCCATATTTGAGGCGGAGACTGGTAAAGAGAGGGGGGTAATCTGTGCATGGACCCATGAACTCAGTGTCTTTGTTATCAATGATAATGACTCAGTAGTGGTAACGGGTATGTGATACTTATTTTACTATTTATATTCGTAGCTTGTTGATTAGGGTTGGACATTTACCGGTAAGAGGGGTTAAAAAATAATTCGTTGTAATAGGGGGTTTTGTTACAATTGACTCACGGCACGGCGTTCATGGAATGGCGGCCGCGCTCATCAGCCATAACGACACGATAAAACATAATACAGTGAAACTCCTGCATAACAAACCGCTCGGGGACTTGAAATTTGATCGTTATAAAGGGTTTCGTTACAGAAGTTATAAGTGCATTGTTTAGTGGTTGGTGGGGATTCAAAAGTTCGTTATACGGGATTTTCGTTATATAAGAGTTCGTTACACTGTAGTCCAATTTAAAAATTGAAAAATATCAAAATTGAAACAAACTTACACTCAAACGAATAAGTGAGGTAAATGTTCGTGGCCTGTCCTTTGCGACCTAAAAAATGTTGTGCTGATACCAGGGCGTCGCTACGACTTCGACTTTTCTCTGGGGGGGGTGTACACCAATTTTTCGAAAAGTACAGATACTTACTTACCTACCTGATTTTTTTCGGATCGGCTCTGAAGAGGGGAAGAGTCACCCCGAACAAGAACAACCCCCCCGGTACTACCTCTTACAGTTGCTAAAGCCCTAATTATAGTAGTTGTCGAACGCGTCCTTCTCCAGAGCCACGCATTTCTGGTCCTCACGCTGCTTCTTGCACTCAAACTTCAGATGACCCTTATTATAGTCTTTGTCCCAATTATGAGAAGCGTCCGTCCAGGTCGAGCAGAGACACAACACGAAACAACCTAACCACAGCTGCATATTCGAAATGAAATTAAAATAACAAAAAAAAATCAAAGTTTTACATAAAATTAAAAAATTTTTGTAATCGCATCTTTATTTTTTTTAAATATTTTGCGTAAACTGCATACTGTAAAAAGTTTTCTAGATTTTCAAACATTCGTCTATTCTACTGTAAAATAATTATTGACCCCCTTATCTCACATGTGCTATATGGTAGAGCTACTCCCCTTATATCACAGGTCCTATATGGTAGATCTACAACTTTATTTGTAAAGTTTTAAACAATACAGTGAAACCTCTATATAGCGAATTGCTAAGGAAATAAAAATTTGTTCGTTATGAAGAGGCTTCGTTATAGCGAGGTTTTAAATGCACTAAGTCTTGTAGCAGTTTCCAAACATTACAACCAAGTTTAAATTGGGTGACTTGGTCGGCAATTTTGGTACCATGTCCATCGATTTCTTAACGAATACATAGAAGCTTTAGAAATATGAAACGTATCGTTGTCTTGTTGCCACACAAGCTGCTTCCAGCCATATTGCTGGCTAATTTTTAATAAAAATTAGTTTTTTACATCTTTTATAGTCTTTTAATGTGTACGGTGTTTTTGTGACCTAAAAGACTCATATCAAATAAGATTTTAGTTGGTTTAAATTTACCTTCAATCTTCAAAGAACCTGTACTGCAAATACGTTATTATAAAGTCAGTCCAATACCATATAGAAAGCCTCCGGACTTTGTTTTGAGCATTTATTGAGTCACGAAGAAGAAATAAACACATTTCTTCCTGCAAATGACTCAATTTGAGAAGGTAGATATTAAAATTCAAAAAGCAATACACAAACTGTGATTAAAAGCAGACTCAGAGAACGATTCCTATCGTAGTTTTTAATTATTTCAAAGATTTAAAACTCATAGCATAAATCATACTTCGTTCATATAAAACAACAAATTTTTATAGTTAACATCACGTATAAAGCTATTCCTTGTATAGTGTGTATTCTATATAAAAATGTATACGATGTTGGTAAGTTTATGCTTGTTTTTATTTTGCCAATCTTGAAATTTAAATAGCAATCTTTAGCAAATATTTATCTTTTACCTAATGCTTACAAGGAAAGTGCCCCACTCTTATTGAGTTCAAACTTTTTAAATAGAAAGATTATGTAAATATAAGATCTTCAGCAAAATAATAAATTGCGCTTTCCAAGAAATCTCGAGAAAATCGAGATCAAAAAATTACGTTTTGAATTTCCCGCCAAATTGGCATTGTGTTTCAAGCTTATAAATTTGCCGTTTTTTGTACTTTTAATCAGTTTTCTTTGATATACTAGTAGAATACCTTTAAATAAACCTAAATTTTTAAATTTGTAAGCGCAGCTTGCCTGGAAAACCGAAAAAAAGCGCTTGAAACACAATGCCAAATTAGCCAAAAAGGTCGGAAAAACAAAATAATTTAAATTTAAGACTCGACAAATAAATTTTTTATGGGTTCTTTAAGGGTACAAGGAATTCATGTAAAAATTTAGAGCTGTTTCTGAGCGGGGCAAGTCGGGCACTTTCCTTGTTAATTTAAAAAAATGGTTGCGCAACCACGGCAACCCCTACCTTTACGAACCTATCATTTTTGGCGGAACTCCATAACGAGTTCAAGCCAACGACCACCACATCTGCCTCACCCACAGATCAAAAAAAACAATGGTTGGATTTGTAAGTTCTATTAGAAGATTGCAACCTTATCAACGGCCTATTAAAAGTTCTCGAATAAACAAAATTTATGTCACAATTTTTAAAAGTCAGACCGATAGTAATCTTGTTTTGGTTTCCATTGGCGGGGGGGTCTGTTACAAAACTTTAACGTTCTTTTGAAATGTACAACTGCTGAAGCTTTACATAAAAATTTTTTAGATTTCTCAATTGGCGGGTCGCTATTGTGTCTGAGCATTATTGTTCTAATAATCTACGTTGCAACGAAACGACGGTAACAGAAGAATTCTAACAAAGGAGTTAAACACCTTTTTTTTTATTTTTGCTAGTTGTTTCTTTTTAAATAAAACTATCACCTTTTGGAAAAAGCATATGTCATCCTACCTTCAGGGGTTTATAACTCATGAAAAAATTAATTAACGATCAGTAACAATGAAAGTACCCGACATGCCTCGCTCTGAATGACTTCGAACTTTCTATTATAGAAGTATCAGGTAAATGCAACATCTTCAGCAAAGTAATAAATCACGCTTTCCAGTCAATCTCGAGAAAATCAAGATCAAAAAGTTACTTTTTGAATTTCTACATTGGCATTGTGTTTCAAGCTTATAACTTTGCCATTTTTTGACTTTTAAGCATTTTTCTTCGATATACTAGTAGAAAACCTTAAAATGAACCAACATTTTAAAATTTTTAAGCGTAGTCTGTAAAGTCGAAAAAAGTGCTTGTAACACAATGCCAAATAGTCCAAATTGTACGTAAAAAGCCCAAAGATTTGAAATTTAAAACTTAAAAGCGCGAGCTAAAATTTTTAAACAAAAAGAGCAAAGCTACTACTGGTGGTACAAAGAATCGATATAAAAATTTTGAGCCGATTCTGACCAGGGCAAGTTGGGTACTTTCCTTGTGAGTTGAATGGAAAGCTGTCAAAACTAAAAAACACGTGTGTTCAACTAGCTAAAATAAAAAAAAACTTGGCTTTCTTGTACTTTTGATTGTTGAAAAAGTAAACAATCGGCACGAGGCTTTGATAAGAAGCCGGATAAAACAAATTATTTTTTTGCTATGTGGCCAAATCGGCCTGCTTTTTGTTTTCCGGCCGTTTTATTGATAATAAACGGTAAGTAAGACAGACTAAATATTATTATTTCATGATTCTGAAGTAGTTACAGATATTTGGTTTTGTAAGAATAACAAAAAAATGTTATCTTATCATACCTAAATCTATCTTACTATTTTATACCCTACCCTACATTACCACACAACACCATATCGTATACTACTTAGAGCTGGCTGTTGGTCCGGGCAGGATGGGTCTGGCGCATCGGTCCGTTGAGATGCGTTTTCATAATCGGCCCGGTCAAAAAAACTAGGGCCGCGGTCCTTGCTTTAGGACCAGACCGATAGCCACCTTTAATCCTACCCTATCATACCTTACCTCTACACCACCCTAAACTACCCCCCCCTCTCCCTCCTACTTTTCTCGGCATCAAAATGGCTCGCACAGGCACTGTCTATCTACTATATTATACCTTTTCAATTCCCAGTACTAACGATTAACCTACCCCCAACCAACCCTAATTTTATCTAACTTGGGTAATATTAATAATTACAGCACGCATTTTAGCCCTGCCCAACTATCGCCCATTAACAAGCTTGACTCAAGAGCAATGTCATCAATATATAGAGAAGCCTCACAAGTATCGCGCACATCGGATAACGTACCGTGATCCGCATACATTGGACGGGCTGGCAATTACGTGCGCTGCCATTAAATCCCGACATTTTTTCTCGCACCGAACTTTATATCCCAAAGAGATATTGTTCCCACTGGCTTATGTTCGGTTGGTTTATAAGGTAAAGGTTACTGTAGTTTTAAAGAGAATGGTTTTAAAATTTGGATAAGATCTTACATTTACATGACTTTTGAATTGGAAAAATTTGAAGGAAATCTGAACATTGCAAGTCGGGTACCTTCCTTGTTATTATACAAGGAAAGTACCTTACCTGCCCCGCTCAGAATCAGCTCAAACTTTTTATATGAATTTGTTGTACTACCAATAGTACTTATAAAAAGTTTTAGCTCGCGCTTTTGAGTTTTAAATTTTAAATATTTAAATTTCCCGCCAATTTGGCATTGCGTTTCAAGCCCTTTTTCGACCTTCCAGACCAGCTACGCTTACAAATTAAAAAATGTAGGTTCATTTAAAGGTATTATACTAATATATCAAAGAAAGACCATTAAAAGTTAAAAAATTACAAAATTATAAGCTTGCAACACAATGCTAATTTGACGGGAAATTTAAAAAATAATTTTTTAATCTCGCTTTCCTCGAGATTTCCTGGTAAGCGCGATGTAGTACTTTGCTGAAGATCTTATATTTGCAATGTCATACTATATAAAAAGTTTAAAGTCAAGAGCGAGGCAGGTCGGTATTTACCTTGTTATTTTATAAATTTTTTTTGGAAAATTTGAAAAAAAATAGTAAAATTTCAAAATTTCAAATTCTTCCAGGACTACTTGTTCCTCGAATCCGAGTTAGCCGTTTCGTATTCGCCGCAGAACATTTACTGTTATGCGATCGATGCAAAAGCGCCGAAGGTGTTTCACGCTCGGCTTCACGCGCTTTCGGCCTGTTTGCCGAATGTCATCGTGACACGAGTCGAGTATCGGATGGATTCGGAAGGGCACAATGGGACGCGTTCTATGATGGAATGTCTTCGTATGATCACGAAACACAATTGGAAGTATGTTTTTGTACTACAAGTAAGAGGTTTGTGTGATTGCAAGCGTGCTTTGTTTTACTATACTACATATTATACTAGTTCATGTCTAATAACTTATTGCTAGTAAAACAGAAGTAGAACCCCTGTATAACGAATAGCTTGAAATCCGTTATACAAAAGTTCCACTCTAGTACAAGTAACACTATAGTAAATTAGACTTATTAAAGCTATGTTTCAGAATCACGATATACAGATCAAAACGAATTCGGAGCTAATTCGCATTCTACAACTTTACAACGGTACCAACGATGTTCAAGCGTACAGACAGAGTATTAAGCGAATACAGCCCGGTGTCAACTGGTCTTTTAAAGCTATGAATTTGTTCAAGAACGGTACGTACTATCATGCTTAAACAATGTGAATTCAGCTCGCAATTATACAAAGAAAGTGCCCGACCTGCCCCGCTCTGACTGACTTCAGACTTTTTATATTGAAAGATCATGTAAATATAAGATCTTCAGCAAAGTACGATTTAAATCGCGCTTTCCAGTCAATCTCGAAAAAACCAAGATTAAAAAATTAAATTTTGAATTTCCCGCCAAATTGGCATTGTGTGTTTCGTTCTTATAACTCTGTCATTTTTGACTTTTAATCACTTTCTCAATACGTAGGTCTTCAAAACAGTGATTCTAGAGATGAGGAACAAAAACAGGGCCCGGCCCAATCTAAATTTTGTTGCGGCCGGCCCGGTCCGATTTTTTTACGTGCAAACGGGCTTGGCCCGGTCCGTTCCTCATGTCTAATGATTCATCTCAAACAGATTACCTTATCTAACTCTAACAGCATACTGAGACGTACTGCCACACTTGACCCATTCTAGCCCATCGCAACACCCGACTTCACAACGGCCAGCCACCTGTCATGCTGTTCGCCAAGTCGTTGCCTCAAGTGACATTGTCGCGAAAAGCGGTCGATTTCATGTTAACAAACATGAATATCGACCGTTTTGTCGACCGAATTGAATGGAATGCGTTTGGCGTAGACGAGAACTTCATCGGCAGTTTGAATTCAAACGATGCGGTGGGACTGCCTGGGGGTTTTACGCTGCATTGCCTGCGGGGACAGGTGGAAAGCAACTACATGACGCGACTGTCGATTTGGATGGACAGTGGGAAGTGTAAAAGTGGCATGTACAGACACTACTTGTGTTTGTTTGGCATGGAAGACATCAAAGTGAGGTTTTATTTGCGTTATGTTGACTTTGACTTGTTTTTCAAAATTTTAAAGAAAAGTTGACTTTTTACTCAGTATGATTTGAAACAAACATCCCTACTGTCCACGCCAACTAAAGCGCTTCTATACAATGCCATTCAAGACAAATAACAACTACTTTTACATGCCTTACAACTTGTTTTAGGCCAACATCGAAGACCAACCCCACTTTTTCGCCAACAAATTCATGCCATCGGTGGATTTTGGAGCCATCGACTGTTGGCATCGCATTTTATACAATCGAACGCATTTTAACCGGGCCAACCGGCTGTCAATGAGGGACTACAAGTTTGTGGACACGGTTAGGTTCAACTTTTTGAAAAATAATTACCCAAACTTTACTGCGCTCAATTTTAATTGCAAAATTGATAGGAAAATGGTTGTTTAGACAATCTAACTTTTGTCATTGAAAAGTTAGATTGTGTAGATTTTTTATTTCTGTAGGGTAAGGTATAGTGTTTTTTATTGCCGTAGGGTAGTATATACTAGCATACATATAGTGTTTTATCTTGTATTAATTAGGTTTTCCAGTGTAATATACTAACTTTCCCTTTTGTTTTTGGAACATATTATCCAGGTATAAATCTTGTTTATAATGGAATTAATAGTTAGTATTGTAATAACAAAATAAATATTAAAAGTTGTTGTATAGGAATGAAGTCATTTCGAATCACAGTTTTTTGCCATATATTTACAGTAAGTGTGAGAGTTGCGAAGGCCTGAAATTGGCTTGCTTTAACTGTGGTAAAAACTATTTTAAATCTTGCCATAACAATGTTTTATCGCCTTAAATATTGTCTTTATGACTTGTTATCATCTTAAATCTTGTTATAATGATTTTTTACAATCTAAAGCCTTCTCATAATGATTTTTTTCAATAATATGCACAAGTACTTACATGGGAAGTCACTTAAATCGTACCTCGACTTTAGGTCGAGACCTATATATTTTTAAAGCCCTGTAATCACTGAGTATGGGCCTGAAACCCGTTTTTCCGTATGGCGCTTAGTTTTCGAGAAAATCGACTTTAAATTTTGACCGAATCCCTAAAAGGAGGAAGGCGCGCTGAAAACTCGATCGGAAATAACTAGAAGAAATCAAGTGGCGGCATGGCGCAGAGGGTAAAGCGTTCGGTTTCCAATTCAAACCACGTGGTTTTGATTCTGGAGCCTCTGAATCTTTTTTTAACAAAACTTTCAATATGCAAATTTATGTAATTTTTGTAATATCATTGTTAGATGAAATTGCATAATTTTAACGACATATATTTTTTCCTCTATCTTCGTCGGTCACATCTTCGTACGTTGGATCCGCCGTATTATTCCTATCCTCAATCAAGTCCTCCTCTGATTCATCGTCGAAATCACCATCTGCTATATTACAACATTGTCTTCACGATTCGGTCATTGCAGGCAGCAATGCTTGCTGTCGCCGTGTCCAAATCGAACATCAGGAACCCCACAACAAGTGCGAGGGTGACACCCAAAGCACAATGCACAAAAAGCATGAGTTTTGTTTATTTTAAAATATTATTGCTTTAGGTAATGTTCTTTAATAATTTTTTATTTATTTAACTAAATTATGTCAATTTTCATTTTTTAAAACTACAAAAATTACATAAGTATGCATATTGAAAGTTTTGTTAAAAAATGATTCAGAGGCTCCAGAATCGAACCTACGTAGTTTGAATCGGAAACCGAACGCTTTACCATTTGCGCCAGAATCGCTACTTGATTTATTTTCGTTATTTCCGATAGACTCTCGCGCGCTTTCCTTTTGGAGATACGGTCAAAATTTAAAGTCGATTTTCTCGAAAACTAAGCGCCATACGGAAAAACGGTTTTCAGATCCATACTCAGTGATTACAGGGCTTTAAGAATATATAGGTCTCGACCTAAAGTCGAGGTACGATTTAAGTGACTTCCCATGTTAGTATTTTTTACCATAATATTTACACAGAATAACCGTGCATTTAAAGTGTGTCAATACCCACTGCCAAGCGGGAGGTTTTAGTCAGGGCAAAAAGACTAAAAAATACTTTTTTTGCCATAAGGACATATTTTTCTTAAAATTTTTAAAAAATTATCAAATATTTTTAGCCTTTTGAAAATTTTTTTGTTGATTTACAGATCTCATGTGCACGGTGCACACAATTTTTAATTTTTTTTCTATTTTTGGGATCTTTTTTTGGTGACTTTAAATTTGGGACCAGCCTACCTAGATATACAGTGATGTTCACAGATATAAACGCACTTAAGTCTATCTGTAAACGCGCTGGGCTCAATATTTCCGACAGAGGAAGGCCTGGCCTGCCTAGTGGGCTCCCTTTAATGTCTAGGCCCACAAAATTTCTCATTCTAACTTATAATAATGACCAATTTTCCACATTACCCAACTCAACATAAAAAAATTAAAAATCTCCACCCACCTCAAACAGCGCGATTGCAGATCTCCTTGACATTGGCCGGTTCCAAAAGCTTTGGATCTTCACACAAATTCACAGCAGCGGTTAAGGCTTCATCGATCAGCACATTCATGGCCATTTCATCTGACACAAAGCGCCACAACGTTTGTTTTAGGTAGAAACTGTCGACTTGGATCTGTTGGACGCCGGACCGGCTAAAGCTGTTTTTGCGGACCCATTCCAAGAAGAGCCGCAGGCACTTGTCTATTACACAACCAATGATCGAGTATCGTTTGAAATCGAGTTTTGGGGCGGCGAACTCTTCCACTGCGTCCGCCCACATTCGTTCCAGGGCACCACTCAACGCGTCAGCGTTGGGTTGAAGTCGGCGTTGGCTGAGGCTTCGCATCGAATCTGGAGTTCGCTCTTTCTTCGTGCTGTCGTCCATCTGAAAACAAGGTTTGATTGTAGACTAAAAAGCAAAATGCTAAAAAGTATGAACATCCTGACAGAAAAATTGGGTCCAGCCCTTTTACAAGTCTAATCATACATCGCTAGCCAGGAATTTAGCAATTATTAAAATGGTTTACAATCCCAAAAAATGTCACATTTTGACAATTTAAAAATATAAACCTACCAAAACTTGTAAATTTTCATCCAAAGCCTGAACCTCTCTGACCAATGCTTTACACTCTTCTCGAACTTGATTTGGGCTTTCCTTTATCGTCGGCCATTGGGTTGAATTTGCGTTTAGGGTCTGAAAATAAAGAGTTACTTGTCACATTATACCAAACTTAAGATTACACGTAAACTATTTCTTTCTTATTTGAAAAAATCTTTTCTATAAGAATATCAAAAAGGCCACCAAAACTATCTTTGGCTCCAGAAGTTCTGAATTTTCAATTACCGGCATCAAAAAGCTTGAAAAACTTTAGGCTCATTGTGCCAAAATTACTTTTTTTTTAAATAAATTGCTGTTATTGAGCAAAAAAATCTAATAGCTCAACACTTTTTATACAACCTATAAATTAGCATCGGAAATAGGTGGGATTTAACTCAAAATTGTAATATCCTATATAACTTTTTTCTTGAGAAATTAGTACTATCTTGTTGCTAAGACTTTAGCTCATTTAAGCTACATATAAGATATTTTGGTAATAACCTTTTCTACTACACTTAATTTTGTCCTGCACTACCTAATCTTTAGAAGCTCACAGTGAACAAATTTTCTCATACTTAAAAAAATTTTGTTTTAAGTTTGATGCTTAGCTTACGAAATTTTTAGCGGCTCATAAAACGACATACCACAAACAGCTCAAAGAATTTTTTCTTTGCAAGAATTGTCTATATTACACTAGGAATAGGTGAAATTGCACATAAAATTGTGAGATCCTATATTTCTTTTTTTCTTTTAAACCTAACACAATCTTGTAGCACAGACTTTATGCTTTCACTTGAGTTATAAATCACACAATTTGATAATAAACATTTCCAGAAACACTTAATTTCGTCCATCACTACCTAGCAGAAGCTCATGATGAATAAAATACCTCGAATCTCAAACCACCTCAACCCAATGTTCAAAAACCCTTATATAAAATATATAACAAGGCCTTATAGTTAACCTACCTCAAAGAAGTTTTGGCCGCTCTGTTCCGCAAATTTGGCCAAAACTTTCAAAGCCGCTTCGTCAATAATTTCAACTATAGCCGGAGGGCGTGTCAATAAGGCTTCTGCAATTTCTTCACTAATTTTATACTGTTCTTGGCACAAGTCCATCAAGTAAAAAAGCGCTTGAAACACAATGCCAAATTAGCCAAAAAGGTCGGAAAAACAAAATAATTTAAATTTAAGACTCGACAAATAAATTTTTTATGGGTTCTTTAAGGGTACAAGGAATTCATGTAAAAATTTAGAGCTGTTTCTGAGCGGGGCAAGTCGGGCACTTTCCTTGTTAATTTAAAAAAATGGTTGCGCAACCACGGCAACCCCTACCTTTACGAACCTATCATTTTTGGCGGAACTCCATAACGAGTTCAAGCCAACGACCACCACATCTGCCTCACCCACAGATCAAAAAAACAATGGTTGGATTTGTAAGTTCTATTAGAAGATTGCAACCTTATCAACGGCCTATTAAAAGTTCTCGAATAAACAAAATTTATGTCACAATTTTTAAAAGTCAGACCGATAGTAATCTTGTTTTGGTTTCCATTGGCGGGGGGGGTCTGTTACAAAACTTTAACGTTCTTTTGAAATGTACAACTGCTGAAGCTTTACATAAAAATTTTTTAGATTTCTCAATTGGCGGGTCGCTATTGTGTCTGAGCATTATTGTTCTAATAATCTACGTTGCAACGAAACGACGGTAACAGAAGAATTCTAACAAAGGAGTTAAACACCTTTTTTTTATTTTTGCTAGTTGTTTCTTTTTAAATAAAACTATCACCTTTTGGAAAAAGCATATGTCATCCTACCTTCAGGGGTTTATAACTCATGAAAAAATTAATTAACGATCAGTAACAATGAAAGTACCCGACATGCCTCGCTCTGAATGACTTCGAACTTTCTATTATAGAAGTATCAGGTAAATGCAACATCTTCAGCAAAGTAATAAATCACGCTTTCCAGTCAATCTCGAGAAAAATCAAGATCAAAAAGTTACTTTTTGAATTTCTACATTGGCATTGTGTTTCAAGCTTATAACTTTGCCATTTTTTGACTTTTAAGCATTTTTCTTCGATATACTAGTAGAAAACCTTAAAATGAACCAACATTTTAAAATTTTTTAAGCGTAGTCTGTAAAGTCGAAAAAAGTGCTTGTAACACAATGCCAAATAGTCCAAATTGTACGTAAAAAGCCCAAAGATTTGAAATTTAAAACTTAAAAGCGCGAGCTAAAATTTTTAAACAAAAAGAGCAAAGCTACTACTGGTGGTACAAAGAATCGATATAAAAATTTTGAGCCGATTCTGACCAGGGCAAGTTGGGTACTTTCCTTGTGAGTTGAATGGAAAGCTGTCAAAACTAAAAAACACGTGTGTTCAACTAGCTAAAATAAAAAAAAACTTGGCTTTCTTGTACTTTTGATTGTTGAAAAAAGTAAACAATCGGCACGAGGCTTTGATAAGAAGCCGGATAAAACAAATTATTTTTTTGCTATGTGGCCAAATCGGCCTGCTTTTTGTTTTCCGGCCGTTTTATTGATAATAAACGGTAAGTAAGACAGACTAAATATTATTATTTCATGATTCTGAAGTAGTTACAGATATTTGGTTTTGTAAGAATAACAAAAAATGTTATCTTATCATACCTAAATCTATCTTACTATTTTATACCCTACCCTACATTACCACACAACACCATATCGTATACTACTTAGAGCTGGCTGTTGGTCCGGGCAGGATGGGTCTGGCGCATCGGTCCGTTGAGATGCGTTTTCATAATCGGCCCGGTCAAAAAAACTAGGGCCGCGGTCCTTGCTTTAGGACCAGACCGATAGCCACCTTTAATCCTACCCTATCATACCTTACCTCTACACCACCCTAAACTACCCCCCCCCCTCTCCCTCCTACTTTTCTCGGCATCAAAATGGCTCGCACAGGCACTGTCTATCTACTATATTATACCTTTTCAATTCCCAGTACTAACGATTAACCTACCCCCAACCAACCCTAATTTTATCTAACTTGGGTAATATTAATAATTACAGCACGCATTTTAGCCCTGCCCAACTATCGCCCATTAACAAGCTTGACTCAAGAGCAATGTCATCAATATATAGAGAAGCCTCACAAGTATCGCGCACATCGGATAACGTACCGTGATCCGCATACATTGGACGGGCTGGCAATTACGTGCGCTGCCATTAAATCCCGACATTTTTTCTCGCACCGAACTTTATATCCCAAAGAGATATTGTTCCCACTGGCTTATGTTCGGTTGGTTTATAAGGTAAAGGTTACTGTAGTTTTAAAGAGAATGGTTTTAAAATTTGGATAAGATCTTACATTTACATGACTTTTGAATTGGAAAAATTTGAAGGAAATCTGAACATTGCAAGTCGGGTACCTTCCTTGTTATTATACAAGGAAAGTACCTTACCTGCCCCGCTCAGAATCAGCTCAAACTTTTTATATGAATTTGTTGTACTACCAATAGTACTTATAAAAAGTTTTAGCTCGCGCTTTTGAGTTTTAAATTTTAAATATTTAAATTTCCCGCCAATTTGGCATTGCGTTTCAAGCCCTTTTTCGACCTTCCAGACCAGCTACGCTTACAAATTAAAAAATGTAGGTTCATTTAAAGGTATTATACTAATATATCAAAGAAAGACCATTAAAAGTTAAAAAATTACAAAATTATAAGCTTGCAACACAATGCTAATTTGACGGGAAATTTAAAAAATAATTTTTTAATCTCGCTTTCCTCGAGATTTCCTGGTAAGCGCGATGTAGTACTTTGCTGAAGATCTTATATTTGCAATGTCATACTATATAAAAAGTTTAAAGTCAAGAGCGAGGCAGGTCGGTATTTACCTTGTTATTTTATAAATTTTTTTTGGAAAATTTGAAAAAATAGTAAAATTTCAAAATTTCAAATTCTTCCAGGACTACTTGTTCCTCGAATCCGAGTTAGCCGTTTCGTATTCGCCGCAGAACATTTACTGTTATGCGATCGATGCAAAAGCGCCGAAGGTGTTTCACGCTCGGCTTCACGCGCTTTCGGCCTGTTTGCCGAATGTCATCGTGACACGAGTCGAGTATCGGATGGATTCGGAAGGGCACAATGGGACGCGTTCTATGATGGAATGTCTTCGTATGATCACGAAACACAATTGGAAGTATGTTTTTGTACTACAAGTAAGAGGTTTGTGTGATTGCAAGCGTGCTTTGTTTTACTATACTACATATTATACTAGTTCATGTCTAATAACTTATTGCTAGTAAAACAGAAGTAGAACCCCTGTATAACGAATAGCTTGAAATCCGTTATACAAAAGTTCCACTCTAGTACAAGTAACACTATAGTAAATTAGACTTATTAAAGCTATGTTTCAGAATCACGATATACAGATCAAAACGAATTCGGAGCTAATTCGCATTCTACAACTTTACAACGGTACCAACGATGTTCAAGCGTACAGACAGAGTATTAAGCGAATACAGCCCGGTGTCAACTGGTCTTTTAAAGCTATGAATTTGTTCAAGAACGGTACGTACTATCATGCTTAAACAATGTGAATTCAGCTCGCAATTATACAAAGAAAGTGCCCGACCTGCCCCGCTCTGACTGACTTCAGACTTTTTATATTGAAAGATCATGTAAATATAAGATCTTCAGCAAAGTACGATTTAAATCGCGCTTTCCAGTCAATCTCGAAAAAACCAAGATTAAAAAATTAAATTTTGAATTTCCCGCCAAATTGGCATTGTGTGTTTCGTTCTTATAACTCTGTCATTTTTGACTTTTAATCACTTTCTCAATACGTAGGTCTTCAAAACAGTGATTCTAGAGATGAGGAACAAAAACAGGGCCCGGCCCAATCTAAATTTTGTTGCGGCCGGCCCGGGCCGCGTTTTTTTACGTGCAAACGGGCTTGGCCCGGTCCGTTCCTCATGTCTAATGATTCATCTCAAACAGATTACCTTATCTAACTCTAACAGCATACTGAGACGTACTGCCACACTTGACCCATTCTAGCCCATCGCAACACCCGACTTCACAACGGCCAGCCACCTGTCATGCTGTTCGCCAAGTCGTTGCCTCAAGTGACATTGTCGCGAAAAGCGGTCGATTTCATGTTAACAAACATGAATATCGACCGTTTTGTCGACCGAATTGAATGGAATGCGTTTGGCGTAGACGAGAACTTCATCGGCAGTTTGAATTCAAACGATGCGGTGGGACTGCCTGGGGGGTTTTACGCTGCATTGCCTGCGGGGACAGGTGGAAAGCAACTACATGACGCGACTGTCGATTTGGATGGACAGTGGGAAGTGTAAAAGTGGCATGTACAGACACTACTTGTGTTTGTTTGGCATGGAAGACATCAAAGTGAGGTTTTATTTGCGTTATGTTGACTTTGACTTGTTTTTCAAAATTTTAAAGAAAAGTTGACTTTTTACTCAGTATGATTTGAAACAAACATCCCTACTGTCCACGCCAACTAAAGCGCTTCTATACAATGCCATTCAAGACAAATAACAACTACTTTTACATGCCTTACAACTTGTTTTAGGCCAACATCGAAGACCAACCCCACTTTTTCGCCAACAAATTCATGCCATCGGTGGATTTTGGAGCCATCGACTGTTGGCATCGCATTTTATACAATCGAACGCATTTTAACCGGGCCAACCGGCTGTCAATGAGGGACTACAAGTTTGTGGACACGGTTAGGTTCAACTTTTTGAAAAATAATTACCCAAACTTTACTGCGCTCAATTTTAATTGCAAAATTGATAGGAAAATGGTTGTTTAGACAATCTAACTTTTGTCATTGAAAAGTTAGATTGTGTAGATTTTTTATTTCTGTAGGGTAAGGTATAGTGTTTTTTATTGCCGTAGGGTAGTATATACTAGCATACATATAGTGTTTTATCTTGTATTAATTAGGTTTTCCAGTGTAATATACTAACTTTCCCTTTTGTTTTTGGAACATATTATCCAGGTATAAATCTTGTTTATAATGGAATTAATAGTTAGTATTGTAATAACAAAATAAATATTAAAAGTTGTTGTATAGGAATGAAGTCATTTCGAATCACAGTTTTTTG